TAAAACATCTCCGGACTGCCTACATGCGGGGTAACTATAATAGTTTAGACAGTAGTCAAGATAAAGGAAAGGAACCACAGCCTCAATGAAGGATTCTCTGGCCTCACAATATCCAAGTAGCCACGACGGCTGGCCAGCTTTCAAAGTTCCTTTCCTACCACCACCACCACCACAACCACCCCATTAGGGCCATACTGAGCACACCTGGATGTCCCAACGGCTACCTATTTCATCTCCCAGACCCTCCTAGTCTCAACTCACAGAACCACTGCCAACTAGACAGCTGATCTAATATGCACCGGGGTCATTTCTCTTTCTGGATGCCTGCCTTGTCCCCCAACGAGACCGTAAGCTTTTCAAAGACGGAGTGCACAGGCTTTCGCTTCGGAGCAGCCTGTGTGGGATCTTGGCTGAACTTCATTAGCTTGCCTCTTGGGCAAGATGCTCTCTGAGAGCCTGGGCTCCCTGACCTGCAAACTAGGACGGCACCATGGAGATGCCATTACATGAACCCAGGCAGGCCAGGTGCTTTTCACAGAGCCTGGCACAGAGTAAATGCTGGCGTCAGTCACTAGGATACAACGGTGTCATTTATGGTGTCCCACTCATGACGCCAGGCAAGGCTGGCCCGTGAAGAGGCCGGGTGTGGGCGACCCCCCCCACACACACACTTACACGGTCTGGACGTCGGTGGCTAGCCCGGCCAAGCCGATGTACAGCCGGTCGCCCATGGGGAAGATCTTCTGGAAGTCCGTGGTCACCATCTGGGCCTGGATCCCGAAGCGCCTGTCGGCAGCGATGGCCACACAGTCCTTCCCCTTCATGGCCATGACGGCCCCTCCGTTATAGGACATAATAGACTGGGGTGCACAGAGTGGAAGGGCGAGAGGTCAAACGCGGCCATAGACCCCGGCCCAACCCCAACCCCATCCCCTGACCCGGAGGGTCCTGTACCCACCGTCCTCCCCTCTGGAGGTGCGCGGAGGCCTCCAACTCCGGGTCTGCCATCAGCCCAGCCGGGCTGCGAGGACCGCCGCCACCTCACCCACCATGGTCCGCCCCCTTCAAACTGCAGCCGCTTCCTTCAGCCGACCACCAGGCCCTCTTCGCCCCCCCCAAGTCTCCCGTGACCCCCGTTTCTCCATCGCTACCCCGAGCCCCCGCTCCTCGCTCCCATCTCACCATGACTGCGGTGTAGTAGGACTTCCGACCGCCACAGTTGCAGCAAGCCCGCTAGAGACCTCACTGCGCAACCACCCTCGCTGTTCTCTCCCTATTGGCTGGAAGGCCGACCTTTCCGGGACAATGTGGCTTTCTATTGGCTAAACCCCTCTGTCAGTCACCAGCACGGGAAGTTTGATTGAGAAGTCAAACCCGGTAAAGCGAAAGTGAAAAGTCACTGTGAGCGCGGAAGGCCCCGGCGTCGCGGTGCAGGCTGGGATCGCGGCGGACTGGATCCGCGTGCACTTGGGCTGCTGCAGCCGCAGCTGAAGGGCTACAGTGTTGCTTGTCGAGCTTATTATTACTCATCTTCGCTTGTTCCCTGTATTTATTCCAGAAACCCTTACATCTGTTGTGTGCCAAGCACTAGGCTCTGGACATTAACTGAGCTAGGACGGTGCCTGGTGTGTAAGAGGCGCCATTAAGTGCATATTTACTAATGCGGGAGGGGAGGGCAGTAGGTGGGCGTCGCGAGTGGTCAGCTGCAGGGGTTCAGCCGCAAAGGGGAGGTTTGGAGGCCGAACGTTGTTCTGCTCTGGGGTCGATTTCAAGTATCCCAAATCTCAGGTCCCTCTAAAAAGGGCGTTCCGAGCTTTCCCTTATCTAAAATCCGTAGGAAGCCGGCGCCCACCCCTCCAGAGCCAATGGGGGAAGGTGTGCCTGTTCTGCTCGTTTTCCTCTACGAATCCAGACCCTCTTTCGCCCTCGGGTCCGCTTTGGCACCTCCGCGACGGTTTCTGTGCTGGCTTCTGCTTCGTCGCCAGCTCACTCCTATTGACTCGACTCGCCGCCGCCTTACCAGCCACTACAGTCTCTGTGGCGCAATCGGATAGCGCGTTCGGCTGTTAACCGAAAGGTTGGTGGTTCGAGCCCACCCAGGGACGCTCTGTTTTCCCTCCCTCTGAAGCGTAATTATCCCAACTGCTGGAATCCTAAATCTGGCTTTGAAAGGGCAGAGATAAACTTTTTCTATAAGCACATCACAGGCTCATCGTGATTGGAAATGTGTTGTATACTCAGTGATGGGATAATTTCTCTGGCGCTCTCTTCTACTACTCTGCCCCGAAACGACTGCAGGAACAACAGACAGGTTTTTTGTCTCACCGGGCAATACCAATACGTTCCAGGTTGCGTTTTTCTTTAGGACTAAGAACGAATTTCCAGCGGAGGTTGGATAGTTTTCCACTGTCGGTCTCAGGCGATGTTACAATCTCCAACTATTACATGTGGAAGGGAAAAAAGGTGTGAGAGAAAGGCAGAAACAAGCTGAGGGGCAAAGAGGGAGGTGAGAAAGGGAGAGAGAACATCGCTGTGATAGGCGGACACAGAAAGGGGATATGACAGAGGAAATAGGCGAGGTCAGAGGAAGGAAGACAGAGGAAATGGAGAGAAGGAAAAGAACAGTTAATATGAGAAGCATTAGAAAAAGGAAAACAACAAAACAGGTTTTTGTTGTTTTTTTCTCCCCTAGAAATACACCCACATGAGTGAGAATGGGGAAATAGCAGGAGAAACCGACAAAGGACATTGTTTGGGGGAGGCAGGCACAAGGAAAGGAAGGAAAGGGACAGAAGGAAAGGCAGTCACACAGTCCCAAGAGCGGCCACTCTCTCCTACCACTGTCCCCATCTGACCTGGCAGTAGCTCTTGGTTTGTGCCGGAAATAATCACCCAGATTTCCAGGGTTCCTGCCCTCAGTAAGCGGATCCCTCTGATGAGTACTTGTCCGGTAGAGAATCACATGCGATGCTACAACTAAGACTGAGATAAATAATTGGCACCTGACCTCTCCCAGAAGCATATGCGAGGGCATGGGGTCGGAGCCTCCACTTTTACGAAAGAGCCAAGCAAAGGACTCCCTCCAGCAATTCTCCTCCATGTCCGGTCTCTCCTCAAGGCCGGGCTCTTCAGAAAGCCCTGGCCACTGCGCACCCTCCCTACCCAGCTCTCACCCCGCTGAGGGGGACACCGGGGGGCACACAGGCTGTGGAACCCTCCGGATTTGCCCCCATCGGTCTGTGTGTACCCTGCCCCGGAGCCCGGCTCATTGGCGTTCTGTGCCCTGTGCCTGGCACGGGACCTGCTTTGACACATGACAGGTGCTTCTTTGTCTGAACACTAGACACATTCAGAAGATTCTCCTGCTAAACCAGAAAGGCCAGGGATACGGGGCCCTGCTGCCTGGGACATACATGATGGAAGTGGGCAATGGGGTCTTCAGCAGGTCCCTCTGTCTTGCGGTTTGCTCCTGGCCGGCGCTTGGTTAATGGAGGAACAAGTGAATGGATCCCAGGTGAGCACGGTGATCCCTTCTAGCAGCCGGACTCAGAGATAGTAGCAGACCCCCCCCCCCCCCCCCATACACACACAACCAAGGTGTGCACTGTGGGAGGGACTGTGATCTCTGAAGCCCCACAGCTTTCTCTGGCTCCGGATCTTCTAGCCCCAAAGGAGTGGCAGACCAAGAGTTCCTACTGCGTCCCCCCCCCCCCCCCCAAAGGGCGCCTTCAGGACGGAAGAGGGCGTCTGGCTCTTCCCTGGCAAAGCCCCAAGGTCCAGGCGACCCCCTTGCACTAGGGACAGCCAGTGTGTCCATCCCCCAAACCCCCTTTCCCAGAGGGGCCTGGTCTGTGCCTGCGAACAGCGTGGAGCAGGTGACCAGGCCCCCGGGCCTTCTCCCGGGGTTCTGACTGCCCGGCTCTGGGCGGGAACCCCTCTCCCGCCCCCATGCGGCCAGGGTGGGCCGGAGGCTGGAGCCGGGGTCACTGGGCGGCCAAAGGATGCCCTGGTCTCCGGCCAGCGAGGGGAGCTGCAGCCGGCGGCGCCGGCTCCGGGGCGGCCTGGGCTGCGGGCGGGAAGGGAGGGAGGAGGCGGGGGGGCGCCCCGGAGCTGCCGAAGGTTCGCCTCCTCATTTGCACACTCGGGGCACTTAATGGCCGGATGGCCGCGCTCTTTTAAGGGACGGACACGGCGACCATCCCGATCAATCTCCACGGACGAATGAGCGAATCGACCGTCTGCATGAGGCAGGCCCGCGGCCGTCGCCGAAACCGAGTATCGATCGGCGGCCCCGGCGCCACCCGTCTCCCCGCTCTTCCCGGCGGGTCCAAGCCTTCCTCCCCGTTCCCCCCACCCCCCACCCCAACCCCTGGCGGGACCCCCTGGGGCCCGGGGGCCGCGTCTCGGAGCCGGCGATGGGGGGCCGATGGGGCGAGCGGCGCGGGGGGCCACGCGCCCACGATCGCGGCCGCGGTCTGTGGGGGCCGTCGCTCGAGTGAATGGACAGGACCCGGCGCGTGGACGTGCGGGCGGCGCGGCCCTGGCCCGGCCCCGCGCCCTTCGGCCGGGGCGCGGGGACCGCACGGCGAGCCCCGCTGCGCGGAGCCCCGGCTGCATTTCACCGCCTTCCCGGCGCCCCGCGAGGGGTGGGCATCGCCGGGCCGGGGGCGGGGGGCGCACACGCGTGTTCGGGGAGGAGGCGTGAGCTGCGGAGAGGAGGGTCCTTTCTCCGGGTCCGGGCTGTCTGGGGAGGGTAAAGGGCTGTCCTACTTTGGGGGGCCCAGTGGCCGGGGGCGGGGGGGCCGCCGCGATCGCCCCTACCCCCCCCCCGCCCCCTCCGCGAACACCCTAGGAATGGGGTCACGTGGGTGGGCAGTGGGCGGGCCCTGCTCTTGTCTGGAGGAAAAAAAGCCATTTTGTGCCCCCCCCCCAGCCCGGGTCCCTCCCCTCCCCCTCCATCCCCTCCCCTCCCCTCCCCTCCCCTCGCTTCCTCCCACCCCAGCCGCTTTCGCAAACTCCTTTCTCACCGAAGCTTTCTCCCCGCCCGCCGCCGAGCAAGCGCCGCGGCTGGGCCCCCTTCCCTCCCTCCCTTCCTCCCTCCCGCCCCCTCCCCGGACCGCAGACCCCGAGCCCAGGTAAGCGGACCGGACCGCCCTTCCCTCCCCTCCGCCTGCCCCGCCGCGGGGCCCCGGCCGGGCCGCATCCTCTCCCGCATCCCCGCGGGGAGGGCGCCCGGGCCGGGCCGCGTCCCACCCGCCGGCCGCCCCGGCCGCCGCCGCCTTCCTTTCTGCCTTTCCCTCTCCCCCTTCCCCTCTCTCCCTTCCAAGATGGCCGAAGCGGATTCCCCTCCCAGCGATGTGGCGTCCCCGGACCACCCCCTCTTTGTGCTCCGCGCCGTCCCAGACCCGCTGCCGAGGAGGCGGGGAGGCCGGGCGCCCACAAAGGCTCCGCCGGGGCTCGGGCGCCGGGTGGGGTGCATCTCTGCCCCGCTGCCCGCCTCCAGGACCCAGAGCTGCCCTGCCCCCCTGCGCCCCTCGGCCCGGGGAGGGGTCGCTCTCTGTTTTTTTCGGGGGACACCCCCCCCGCCCCCCGGCGTCGCGGACGTGCAAAGCCTGGAGGCCGGGAGGCAGGGGACATGCTTTTTTTTTATTGCCGCGGGGACCGGGGGAGGGCGCTCTTTCCTGCCTGGGCCCCGGGGCTCTGCCCCCCCCCCCGCCGGCCCCTTCCCCCCATCCCCAGGCCGGGCGCCCCGCCCCCGCCCCCGCCCCCCAGCGGAAAGTTTGGCTCCTGGGAGGACAGGAGCGGCCCCCCGGGAACTGGGGTCTCACTGGGGGCTCGGATCCTCGGACCCAGCTCCGGGGACAGCCGGGGCCCAGGGGGTGGCATGGAAATGGGGGGGGGGGGGAAGGTTTATTTCCGATCGCCAGCGGAGGCAGGAGGGGGTCTGACCGACCGGCCCGTCTCCCCCTGGGGGGCCAGGCCGCCCCTTCCTTCCCGGTCCTCCTGCTGCTAGCTCTGGGGAGGAGGGGGGGACCCCTGGGCGAGCGGACACCCCAGTCCTTCCTGCCTTCGCGTTGGGCCCAGGCGTGCCTCCCCCCACCCCCAAAGCCCCCGTCTGCCCAGAATCGCTCCGGGTGGCTGGAAGAGGCCCGGGCGGTGGATTTGCCTGTGAATATTGTGGAAGTGCCCCTGGTCTTTGTCTCTCAGGAGTTACCCCTTTACCCCGCACCCCTCACCCCCGCTGCCTCCGTCTCTCCAGGGCTTCCTGTAGGGGGACGGGCAGGGGGGGGGGCATCCCTTGGCCGTCTCCCACTTCTCTCCGATGCCTCCTCCTCTGGGCCTCTTGCAGTTTGCATCTGTTCCTGAAACTCCACTTTCCCTCCTTCCTCCCACTTCCGCTCTGTTCCAAGGTGTTAGCACTTGGGAAAGCAGCATAAAGCCGGCTCTGTTGCAGCTTTTTGGTGGCGAGTTTTCTCCGGGGGTTCCCCCATTTGGAGTTGGGGTTTGTGTTCTTCGAGCTGTCTTTGGAATGAGGCGGGAAACATTCCAAATGTTTAGCGTCCAGACACGGTGTGGCTGGGAGGGGTTCAAGTTGAAATCTTGGTTGGGGGGCTGGGGGAGGGGCTTAGCGTCCAGACACGGTGTAGCTGGGAGGGGTTCAAGTTGAAGTCCTGGTTGGGGGGGTGGGGGGGGGTTGTGTGTGGAGGGGAAGAGGGCAGGAAGTGGGGGACTCTGCTGCCCTGGCCTCGCCTGGGAGATCTTGGTGGATGGAGCTGTTGCCATGGGAATGGAGACGATCTGAAGAGGAAGCGGGTGTATCTTCGTGCAGGTCAGATGCCCACCCGACTCTTCCAGGCTCCGGCCCCCAGTGGGGAGGTCAGGAGCCGCCCCAGCCTTGTTGCCAGGAGACGTGTGTTATAATGTACACGGGGTGGACCAGGGATGCACACAAGGCCAGTGTGTGTGTGTGCAGCTCTGGTTTCAGCCGGGGATGGATGTCAGGCAGGCTGTGTGCTCCTGGTTGGGGGAGGGGGAGGTGACTGAATGCATCTGGCAAAGGTGGGCCGGGCTCTGGTCTGGCTCTGTGTGATGGGGTGTGTCTGGCCAAGTATTGGCTGTGTGTGTGTGTGTGTGTGTATGTGTGTGTATGTACGCGCACGCACATGCACGTGCTGTGTCTCCGGCCTTGTGTGTAGTGAGTGTGAGAGAGGGAGGAGGTGTGTCTGGCTCTGTGTGTATTATATTTTGGGTTTTTGTCTTTGTTTGATCTTCGGAAGCCAGGAGGTGGGGCAGGGACGGAGGACGGGGTGAGCCCAGCACCTGGAGGCTGGCAGCCTCCTTTTCGTGCTGCCGGCGGGGGAGACGTCGGCACCCTGGGAAGCCTGAGAGGTGGACGGTGCTCCCAGGTGGACCGGACTGCCCGTGTTCCTCCCAAATCCTTGGGGCTCACGCAGTGGCACCTATGTGGTTGGGAGAGGAAAGGACTCCTAGGTCCCACGGTCTGAGACTTGACAGTACGCTCTGGCTCACTGCTTCTGGACAGCCTCAGCCTCCCCATCGGTACCCCGGGCGTGGGATGGGGGCTCTGCGCCCTCTGCGTGCCTCTAGGTCAGCACGCGTGCTGGTTGCCGTCCTTGGCCAGACGTTGGCCCCCTCCTGGGGGCTCACCGAGTGGTCTGTCTGCCAGGGAACGTGGAGTCCTGCTCCCCCCGTCCTGGGTGGAATAGGGCCCGTGTGCAAAGAGCACTGTGCAAAGAGCACAGGCTGTTTCTCGTCCTTGGACCGCCGCTGTGTAACCGCAGGCAAGCCCCTTCCTTCTGAGTTTCTTCGTCTGTGAAATGACATGACGGACAAGACGCTTCCTGAGACGCCCTCTACCTCTGCGACTCTAGACGTCTGGATGTGTGACCTTGAGTGACTTTTCCCAAGACCTGGAGGCTTTCTGGGGAGGGAGCCGGGCTAATTTCGTTGGGAGGAAAAGAAGAGCAAAGGATGCTGCCCCTGCGCATCCAGAGGAGCCGAGGGGCCGCGGGGTTGTCAGAGATCGGCTCTCTCTGCTGGGGAAAGGGGGGGGGGGGACACACACACACAACACAACAAAACAAAAACTGACGGCAAGAGAGGCCTACATGGCAAGAGAGGCCTGAAGCTTCCGGAAAGAGCGCGGTTAAAACAGAGAGCTGCAGGTGGTCTTTAGTAGCAGGGGACTTTGAGGATGTGGAGAGACAAATGCCGGGCTTGATGGCGAGGAGAAGTGGGAACTGGGTGCTGATCCGTCTCCTTTCCTGCCCAGACCCTGTTGTGCCTGTGCAGCCAGTGGTTGGTGCGGGGACAGGAGGCACGGAGGGAGGGGCCTGGCCCCGGCTGGGGGAAGGCATTGGAGGTGGGTGATGGCACTCGGGTCCCCTGTGGGGATGTGGTTGGGGCTGACCTGTTTCCCTTTTCTGCTTCTTGGATCTGTCTCTCCTTCTCTGTTCCCCTTGGGCTAGTCCCATCTCCCAGCCTCTTTCTTAAAGTGACGCTGCCCACGGTCCAGCCCCCTCTCAGCCCTCTTCCTTCTGCTTCTCACCGCACACCAGCCAGGTGCCGCTGGGGAGGAACTGGGTGTCAGTTGTAGGGCCCTGAGGCTTCCTGGTGGGGGGGATGAGATGGGGAGGAGGTCCTTGGGGGGACAGGTAACCATGGCAATCAGGTGAGGAGCCAATCCTGTCTTCTCCCCAGCCCCGGAGGTAGCAGTCGGAGGTTCTGGGGATGGGGTGGAGCGAGGAGAGTCACAGGGGGCTCGTTTCCTTCACGGGAGACACAGGAGCATGTCATTGCTCTGTAAGCACCACAGCGCCTGCCCTCACTGGCACGTCTAGGAAGGACCCTGAGGGATACTCTGGGTTGAGGCTCACAAATGCTTGGGGGGAGGGGGAGGGGGAGGGGGATGGCCAGGTGCCCGGGAGCTCCTGTGTGTGGAGGCCATAGTCTGCTTGGCAGCAGCTAGGTGGGAATTCTTAGCAGCAAGTGTCTGCAAACACAAGTGTGCGAACGAGGCGGCCAAAGCCGTGCGCAGCGCTGTGTGTGTACGTGTGCATGTGAGGGAAAGAGAAGGGGGTATGACGTTCACTGATAGCAGCCCGGACCCCCAGCATGATCAGAGCCCAGGACCTCTTGTTGCTGCCCGTGCACGCACACAGACTCCCTGGGACACGGACACGGACACGGACACGTAGTCCTACCAAGTGCCTTTGGAGGCCCAGACAGCACGTATGTGTCTGATATTACACGCGCCCAGCGAGACGGCCGCTTGGAGTTTGTTCTTCCCCCTGGATGGTTGTAATAATATTTGGGCATCTTGCCAGGGACGGAGTTACCATGGAAACCACCAAACAGCAGAGTCCGTAGCAAGGCGGCTACCTCATTGTGAAGGGGGAACCCGTGCAGGGAAGGCAGAAGGAGCCCACCCTGTGTGTGTGGCCAGAACAGCTTTCCTTGGGCTGGGCCTGCGGGGCTGGGCCTGCGGGGCTGGGCCGCCGCCTTCCTGCTGGCTCTCCGGGCTGGCTGGCTTGTCCCGCTCTGTCTGCCCCGCTCGCTGGTGTTTCTCCCACGTGTGGCCTTTGTGTCTCTCCGTCTCTCTCGGTCTCTGGCCAGCCTCTGTTGGCTGCTTGGGTCCCGGCCAAACTCATCCTGGGGTCTCTATAGAAACTGCTGCTCCCGGCTGTGAATTCCGGACCTGGAAAGCCCAGTGCGGCCTTTAGAAACGCTCTGCAGAGGAGAGGACGGTGTGTGTTGGAAAGGAGCAGTTGGGACTTGGCCGCCCGCTCCAGCCCCACCCCTTGGGCTTCCACTCTGGGAAAGAGGAAGAAGGGAGGGGCCGTCCCTTCTCTGTGCAGCTGTGATTTATTTTTATTATTTTTATTTTTTTATCAAGAAGTAAGGACATCCGCCAAGCCAGAGCTGGGCTTTGCCTGACCTCCCGGGCCCTGCCAGAGCCTGGCTGGGCGCTCAGGTGGCCGGGGACAGGGAACTCTGCCCAGCCTTGGCCGGCAGCTGCGGGCCTGTAGCCTGCGGCTGGACGGGCTGTGGCAGGTTGCAGAGGAGGTGTCACCAGGTGGGAGATGGTGGGTGGCAGTGCCCAGGAGGAGACATCACTGCATGTGCCTGGGACGGGGGTCCTGGAGGTGTGTGCTTGCGGGCACAGGTGGAGCGGCGTGTACCGCATTATTTTTTTTTAATGCATTTTATTGATTTTTTACTGAGAGGAAGGGAGAGGGATAGAGAGTTAGAAACATCGATGAGAGAAAACATCAATCAGCTGCCTCCTGCACACCCCCTACCCCCCACTGGGGATGTGCCCACAACCAAGGTACATGCCCCTGACTGGAATGGAACCTGGGACCTTCCAGTCCGCAGGCCAGTGCCCTATTCACTGTGCCACACCGGTTTCGCGTTCCTCAGTATTTCTTGCGTGAGCGTGAGGCCCGGGACCTGCATGGCCAGGTGACGCCCAGGCTGCTGCTCTGGGGCCGGAGCTGGGTGCAGAGCCAGAGGACAGCGATGGGTGCCCCTCCACACCAAAGCTGTGTGGAGGCGGCGCAGATGGGAGGGCAGGAAGGGTGGCACAGAGTAGAAAGACCCAAGTTGGCGGCCTTGCAGCTGGAGCGGGCGAAGGGGCAGGGACAGCTTATTCTTTCTCTCCTCTTATTTTCTGGAGTTCTGGCTTATCTGATTCTCCTCCTAGCGCCCAGCTCTCACTTGAACTGGGATTATGGAGCTATTTTAAAAGTCTGTTCTCTTTCACGTTCCTGCCTCCCCCAGCCTTTGGGAATTGGGTCGTACTTCCTGTGGTCCAACCTCAGTCCTTCCCGCGGCTCCCGAGGTGGCGCTGGTCTTGTTGCTCAAGGTCGGGGGACTGTCCAGAGCGGCCGGCACCCAGGGGACACTCAGAGGGCGCCCAAAGGGACCGGACCTTCCTGCCTCCCGTCCGAGGCCTCAGAGAGGATGCTGGGTCTTTGCGTTTCTAATTCCACTTGCACTTCCCAGGGTGAGGCTCCCCGGCCCCCTCCCCGGCATCATGCATCGGACCACACGCATCAAAATCACGGAGCTGAACCCTCACCTCATGTGTGCCCTCTGCGGGGGCTACTTCATCGACGCCACCACCATCGTGGAGTGCCTGCATTCCTGTGAGCGGCCTAGGCCGGGCGGGGCGGGGGGCGGGAGGCACTGCCCGGGAAGGGGGAGCACAGACCCTGCCTCTGACTGGTGGGGTCCCCGGGTCACAGAGAGGCTGGTGGGGTCCCCGGGTCACAGAGAGGCTGGTGGGGTCCCCAGGTCACAGAGAGGCTGGTGGGGTCCCCGGGTCACAGAGAGGCTGGAGGGGTCCCCAGGTCACAGAGAGGCTGGTGGGGTCCCCGGGTCACAGAGAGGCTGGTGGGGTCCCCAGGTCACAGAGAGGCTGGAGGGGTCCCCGGGTCACAGAGAGGCTGCCTGGGAGGCGAGGCTGGAGGTGCTGACCCAGAGTTCTCATCTGGAATCTCTGCGGCTGATCTGTCACCCCCTGAAGCGCAGCTGCCCCCGGTGTGCCCTGGGGCCTCGGGGGTAAAGGCCGAGGACCCGGGAGAGGGGCAGCAGGCTGGCTGTTGTGTGTCCTCCGTGAGGGCAGCTTGGGGCGTGGGACTCACCGTATCCATGGCACACGACACTGGCCTGATCCACACACGTAGACACACAAGATGGTCCTCTCCCGAGGACGGACACGGGGCAGGTGCCCTCTCTGAGGACAGGTCCGCGCTGGCCCTCTGCACGGCCCAGACCGCCGGCTAAGGCGGAGAAGGGGGACCTGAACCTGGGCAGAGGGGCGGGGGGCTGGGCCTGGTTACCAGGGGGGCTCTGACTCCTCCCTCTCTCCGTGTCCTCCAAGTCTGCAAAACCTGCATCGTGCGCTACCTGGAGACCAACAAGTACTGCCCCATGTGTGACGTGCAGGTCCACAAAACCCGGCCGCTGCTGAGCATCAGGTGGGCCTGGCCCCGCCCCGCCCCCCTCTGCCCCTCAGCCCTCCTGGCTCCTGTGACCAAGGTGGCAGGTCGTGGGGGGGGGGGTGAGGGGGGAGCCCTCGGCCTCTTCCCTCCCTCGGGGTTGTGTTCAGCTGAGCAGTGGAGGGGCAGAGACCAGGCTCTGAGTCTGAGGAAGGGAGGTGAGACGCGGGGACCCTGGCTGGGAGGGCGGGTCAGAGGGTTGTTGATAGGGTCCCGTATGTTTTTTTCCAGATCTGACAAGACCCTCCAAGACATCGTCTACAAACTGGTCCCGGGGCTTTTTAAAGGTATCCACACACCCTTCCTCCTCCTGCGCCCCTGGCCCCCATTCCCCAGCCTGCTGCTCCCTCCTCACCCCGTCTCCTTCCCTCCTTCAGATGAGATGAAGCGGCGGCGGGATTTCTATGCGGCCTACCCCCTGACGGAAGGTGAGGCCATGTGTGTGCTCCCGGGCTGGGGCCCTGCGAGCGGGCGGCTCTGCCCAGACGTGAGGGCCGGGTGCACTGGGCTGTCCGTCCGTCCTTCATGCACGAACACGCCGTCTCCTTGGCTCGGAGGACAGCTGGGCTCACCCCACTGAGCGCTGAGGTTCGGGGTCCATGGCGGGGCTCCCTCCCCCATCCTAGGCAGCCCCCGTTTTCTCCTCTTGCAGTCCCCAACGGCTCCAACGAGGACCGCGGGGAGGTCCTGGAGCAGGAGAAGGGGGCTCTGAGCGATGATGAGATTGTCAGCCTCTCCATCGAGTTCTACGAAGCTGTCAGGCAAGTCTGTGCTGTGCCCCGTCCTTTTGGGGTCCTGAGCCGGTCGCCCCCTTCTCCCACCCAGCCCCATTCCCCCGGAGGGGAGGGCCTGCTGGACGCATGTGCTGGGGAAGCCTGCCTGAACCAGGGTCTCCCTGGCTTCATTCCCCCCCCCAGGGACCGGGAGGAGAAGAAGGGCCCCTTGGAGAATGGAGACGGGGACAAGGAGAAGGTGAGGGCTGGGCCTGCCCAGGTGTGGGCTGTGGGCCGGGAGAGAGGGCCTGGGTGGCCCACAGCCCTGGGTGCCTCTCCCCTGGCAGACAGGGGTGCGCTTCCTGCGGTGCCCAGCAGCCATGACCGTCATGCATCTCGCCAAGTTTCTCCGCAATAAGATGGACGTGCCCAGCAAGTACAAGGTGCGTCCCGGGCCCTTTGGGAAAGGGAGTGTCTGCGGGGTGTGTCTGACGGTGTGCAGCCCGGCCATTGTTCCAGGCGGGCGGGTGTCACCCAGGCCTGCTGGGTTGTGTAATGGAGCCCAAGCAGACAGGTAATTGAAACCAGGGTTAGGGCGGGGCTGTCTGCAGCTGGTGAAACCTGTGTGCAGACAGCATGGCAGAGAGGTGGGGAGTGTGTGTGTGTGTGTGTGTGTGCGCGCGCGTGGGCACACACGCAAAAAACACGGGGTCTCATCTGGGGCCAGCTGACTGAAGGAAGTCCTGGCCAACAGAACTCCAGGGCATTGCTGCTGCTGCTTCTTTTTTTAAACAAAGCTTTTTCTTTTTAAATATATTTTATTGATTTTTTACAGAGAGGAAGAGAGAGGATAGAGAGTGAGAAACATCGATGAAAGAGAATCATCAATCAGCTGCCTCTTGCACACCCACTCCTGGGGATGTGCCCGCAACCAAGGCACATGCTCCCGACCGGAATCGAACCCGGGACCCCTCAGTCCGCAGGCCGACGCTCTATCCGCTGAGCCAAACCGGTTTCGGCTGGGGCATTGCTTCTTAAACTTGCATGAGCCTGTGAGCCCTTAGAGAGCTCGTTAAAAGGCAGATGGATTCTGCGGATTCTGCTTTCCCAGCAAGCTCCCAGGTGCTGCCAATGCCGCTGGCCTGCGGAGCGCACGCTGAGTATCTGGGTCTAGGACGGTGGGTCCCAAACTTTATGTCAGAATCGCATGGGGAGCTTTCAAACTCGGCTCCTATCTTACCAGCTGGACAGAACCTCTAGGGCAGAGCCCTGGCATTGTCTAAAGCTCCCTGGTGACGGCTCTGTGCGGCCGGGTGAGAGCCAGGCTCCCGGATCCTCCTCACCTGGGCCCTTCCGGTGCCGCGGTGTCCGCCCCCTCCAGGTGGAAGTCCTGTACGAGGACGAGCCGCTGAAGGAGTACTACACCCTCATGGACATCGCCTACATCTACCCCTGGCGGCGGGTGAGTGGGGCTGGGGGCCCCCGGGGCTGGCGTGGGTCTGTGCCCACTGGGCTGCGTGGGCACCTGCTCTAACCGTGACAACGCGCTTGGTCCCATGAGCTGGCCTTGTGCAGGCCGGCCCGCCTCGGGCTGGCGCGCTCTCTCTCTCTCTCTCTCTCTCTCTCCCTCTCTCTCTCTCTCTCTCCCTCTCTCTCTCTCTCCCCCTCTCTCCCGGAGCCCCCACACTCAGGAAAGAAGGCTCTTTGGGCAGATGGCGTGCCCCCATGTGGGGTCAAGCAGGAGGGCCTGGTGGCCATGGAGGAGTGAATGTTGCATCCTGCTCCTTGGCCTTCCTCTCCTCTCTCTCCAGCCTCCGGTCCCACCCAGTTCTCTCTGGGTCTGTGTGCCCGGCTCTCTCCGTCGCTATGCCTAGGTCCTCCTCTGCTGGGTCTTTCTCTCTAGGGCTCAAGCTTTTCCCTCCTCCCTCTTGGGGCATGATGGGGTGAAGGTGGGTGGCTGCCTGGTTAGCCTCCCCCCCCACTCTCCCTGCAGAACGGCCCTCTCCCCCTCAAGTACCGGGTCCAGCCAGCCTGCAAGCGGCTCACCTTGCCTACGGCGCCCACCCCCTCCGAGGGCACCAACACCAGTGGGGCATCAGAGTGTGAGTCAGTCAGCGACAAGGCTCCCAGCCCTGCCACCCTGCCGGCCACCTCCTCCTCCCTGCCCAGCCCGGCTACCCCCTCCCATGGCTCTCCCAGCTCCCATGGGCCCCCAGCCACCCATCCTACCTCCCCCACTCCCCCTTCAGCGGCCAGTGGGGTCAGCACAGCTACCAACGGGGGCGCCTCGAACTGCCTGCAGGCACCGTCCTCCACCAGCAGGGGGCGCAAGATGACTGTCAATGGAGCTCCCGTGGCCCCCTTAATTTGAGGAAAGGGACCTTTCCCTCCTTTTCCAGCCGCGCCTCTCCACCCCTCCACTTTTTCTGGGCTTCTGTTTCCACCTCTTCTCCTTTCCCCCAGCTCCTCACACCTTAGGGGTGGGGGGTGGGTTTTATAAATAAATCTCTCTTATATATATATATATATATACATATGTACATAGGAAAAACCAAATATACATATTTTCTATGGACCAACCAGATTAATTTAAATGCCACAGGAAACAAACTTTATGTGTGTGTGTATGTGTAGGGGACGGGGGTTCATTTCGAAGGGGTCTTGTGTAATTTGCTCTATTCTGTTCTTGGGGGTGCCTGAGAGTGGACTGGAGGGGCTGCTGGAGGCTCAGTAACGCTTTGCCCCATCCTCCTCCTGTTTCCCAAGGCAGAGGGGGTGTTACAGGGCCCCCCAGCCCCCAAAGCTTTAGGCACAACTCTGACTGGCTGTGTGTGGGTCCGTCCTCTCTCTCCCTCTCCTCCCCCATCTTGGCTGCTGTCCTGCCCCAACCCAGCCAGCCCCCCAGCCCCTGGTGTGGAATGCGCAGAGACTTGCTAAGACAGTGCCTTTTCCCAATGCAGTGTATCCCCTGGTTTTGGGGAGCGAGTGGGCGGTGGAGATGGTATCGGCCTCACCTCTTCCTCTGGCAGTGGAAACTCTGTGCCAAGCATAGATAGTTCTGCCCTTCCGTTTGTCTTTTTCCCCCTGTGTGTGTGGCCTTCGCATCGTTTTCCGTGGGGAAGAGAAGATTCAGGCCACGGGAGGCCTCCGCCCTTGAAGTCCCACTGTGGCTCCGGCATTGTGAACCCCTTCACCCCCCGGGCCCCGAGCCCGCCCAGGAGCCCCCATCAGCAAGCCTGGGGACCCGGAGTGGAGAGGTGGAGTGGGGTTAACTTCAGACAAGCACAGACCCCAGGTTTTGCTCAAGGCAAACAGCCCTCCAGTCCTCGCCCCACCCCCGGCGGAGGCCCAGGCAGGAAAGGGCCTCGGGGGCACCTGAAAGCACAAGACAGACTCCCGTAAGCTCTGTCCGAACTCCATCCCAAGGGGTCAGTGGGCCACCCCCGAGGGGCAGGCCCCATAGCTCCCTGCCTACCGTTTTCTTCCAGTGTACATAGGTCAGATCGGGGTACCCTGTCACAACCGAGGTGTCCGGGGTTGGGTCCCCCCAGCGGGTTTGTCTGTGTTTGCACCTTGTCTGTTGTCTGAGGTGCCATGGCTGTACCTCCTCCTGCCCTGGGACATTTGCATCTCCTGGCTTTGTAATAAATGCTGCATATTCTCCAGCGCCTCTAGTTCTTTGGGGCAGAGGGGACCGGGAGAGGATGGGAGGGTCCCCAGGCCTCCTCCTCGGACCGCTCGTCTGTGGCTCAGCCTGCCTCGGGAGGCCCCATATGGAATACACCGGAATGGCCTCTGTCCTAGGGCCGGTCTGGTGCCCCCAGACCAGGGTTAGGAGTCAGAGCAGGGGTATGTCCCTGTGCCTCACCAGTGACCACAAGAATACCATTCTGTATGGGCAGGCTTGTTTAATGCCACCTTCCCCACCAGCAGGTGCTAAACCTGGCACCCACTCTTGGCTGCCCCAGGTGAGAGACCTCAGGCTGTGGGAGCAAGTCCTTTATAAGCCAGGGGTTACTGGGGTCCCTGGATGATCACTTCTGGGCTTGGCACGCGCTTTCCTTCCCTGTCAGGGAGGACTGGGGCTGATGAGCAGACAGCCCTCAGAGTGGGGAGCCCACTTCTGCCTTCTGCACCCTCTCGCTCCGGTGGGTGCCGTCGCAGTACGGGGGCTTCTGGGTGGCCTTGCAGGTACACAGGGCCACCATCCGGGTCTCCTGGGCTTTGAACTTGAGCGGAGAGAGGCCAGTGCGTTGGAAGAAGTGGGAGCCATCACAGAAGGGCTGGTGAGGGAAAGAGAAGTGAAGAGAGCTGGCCCCTCTGATGTGGGCAGGTCTGGGACGGGCAGGGCACAGTGATTAGGGCTCAGGCTCCCGAGGGACACCAGTTTACCTCTCGTTTGCAATGTGAGGACAGTAAGAGTTGAGTTATTGGAAAGGATAATTATTAGGCACTTTGCATACAGCAAGTGTGCAGGAAGTTTGTCATTACAGCATTAGTCTCAAGGGCACAAGGAGAGACTTTCCAAGGTGAAATGGGGCCTTAGGTTTTACACCAACAGTTTGTTGTTGTTTTAATGGCCCAATCTCCACTGGTTCGCTACATTCATTTCTCTCCCCATACTGGTGAAGACTGGGTTGGAGAGAGCTGCACGCATCCCAGGGCTTTCAGACTGGGGTATCGGGGTTTTTTTTTTTTTTTTTTTTTTTAAATATATTTTATTGATTTTGTACAGAGGAAGGGAGAGAGATAGAGAGTTAGAAACATCAATGAGAGAGAGTCATCGATCAGCTGCCTCTTGCACACCCCCTACTGGGGATGTGCCCGCAACCAAGGTACATGCCCTTGACCGGAATCAAACCCGGGACCTTTCGGTCCCCAAGCTGACGCTCTATCCACTGAGCCAAACCGGTTTCGGCGGGGTATCGGTTTTTGGCTCCAGGAAACCCCTGGGCATTTATAGGGAGTGGGTGTAACGGAGGAAGGGGATGTCCTATAGGGAACTGGCTGCCAGTGCCAGCACACGCTTCTCAGCCATCGCGGCAGGTGCTCAGCAGAACTGGGTAACGGAAGCCGAGGCCCACGGAGGTGCTGTGGGGTAGGTTCTGCCTCTGGTGGGACTCTGGGGCCAGGGTGGGGTAGGCGGAGAGCGGAGGGAAATTAGCTAATGAGAGTCAGCCTCTCTCCAGCTGACACTGTTCCCTTAGCCCTGCTCCAAATCAGACCAGTGGCCACGCAGGCTGCGGACACCAGCCACACCGCCTGGCGGAGGAACACAGCTCGGAGCTCAGCGCAGGAAGGAAAGGGGCCTGGAGGCTAAGGGTGTGGACCAGGTGCACAAGGGAAGCTCCGGGGGCAGAGGGAGCAGGCAGCCAGGCTGCGGGCCTGCAACCAGGAAAGTCAGATGAACAGGAAGGGAATGGTTTTCAGGAGAAGGGGCACTGGGGGAAGGGGGGCAGCAAAGCTGGGCAGTCTCCCCTAGGATGGGGTCACGGGGCTGGGAACCTTTGGCCCCAATGCTTCTTAGGAGCAAGGAGAGAGGAAGAGAGAGACAGGCAAGCTCCTGTGCTTAGAGCAGAGCCTGGAATGAGCCTCTGAGAAGGGAGCCCCAGAAGCAAAGTCCAGAACCCTGGGCTGGGAGGGCGGGGGGGGGGGGGGGTGTAGAAGAGGTCAGTGTTTGGGGGGGTGGGGGATGGGACATGCTACACTTTCCACAATAAAGATGCTTACCATCTGAAATAAAAACAAATGAAATGTAAACCAACAAAAACCAGAAGCCTGGGTCCCACCCGCCTGGCTGGGTGAGTTTCTGTATCTGGACTCGGCTCAAAGGGTTGATTCAGACGCAGCTCAAGGCTATGGGTGCGCCAGCCCAAGAGGAGCGCTCAGGACACACCCTGCGTTCCTACCTGGGTGTCATGTGTCAAAGGCGTGTGTGTGTGTGTGTGTGTGTGTGTGTGTGTGTGTGAGTTCCTCTCACCTGCTTCTTGCTGCGGCCACACACGCACCACTTGTAGGTTTTCCCCGCCACCAGTTCCACCTTGATGGGCGTTTTCAGGGCCACCACAGACTTAGCTGGGGCTTTGGGGAACCATTTGGCCTGTGGCAGGGAAGGGGAGGGGCTTGGGGTCAGCCCAGGTCCTGGAAGCACTTCCCTGCCTATGGCGGGCTTCCCCTGTGATGACACCCAGCAAGGACACCTCCCCCCCTTTTCTCCCCCCTCCCAAGACTCCATAAGTGCCCTGAGCTCCAGGCTGGAAAGATTGGAGGCCATGCAGGCACTCAGGGTTGGAGACCCAGCTGCTTCCTCTGAAAAACCCTGGCTCCACCCTGGAGCTAGGGAGGGGCGGGCTGGGATCCTGCCAGCCTAAGCCGCAGGGCACCTGGGGCTTGGTTTATCGGGCATCGCTGGCGCCCAGCCCGGTGCCCTCTGGTCCAGCCTGCCTCCCCGGAGGTGGCTGCAGGCGAGGCGGTGGCAGGCTGGAGCCCAGAGGCAGGGCTGACTCTTCCTGGTTGCCTTCCCCGGCCTCTGCCTTTGGGGTCTCCGGGCGTGGGGGGCCTGGGCAGGGAGAGAGAAGGGGAAACGGGGGGTACGTACCAGCCAGGAGGAGATGTCACGCCTCTGGTTCAGCTTCTGCGAGGCGCGTCGTCATCGCCATACAGTGATTTGGAAACAGAAAAACAAAGTCAGTGGGAAGCGGAAGGCGTCCGGAGGGGGGTCATCTGGGGAGGAAGAGATGACCGCTATGGATGGAGGAGAAGGGAGAGAGTAAGAGGAGGGATCGCCAGGCAGGGAAGAGAGGCCGGGAGGTGCCCGCCTGCAGCAGGCGCCGGGGGGCTGGGCTGGGGGGCCGGCGGGCTGGGGGCCCTGGTGCGGGAGGGGGGCGGGCAGGGGCGGGGGTGCTCACCCAGGCCGCCGGCCGCAGCAGCGCGCCCACGCCACCCATGCCGGGCCGCCCGCACGCCGCCCGCTCCGCCCGCCGCGGTCACCTCCCCGCTCCCTCCGCCCCCTCCGCCCGGCCCGCCCCGCCCCGCCTCGGCCGGAAGACGCCGCGGGGTTCCGGGCGGGTGGGGCCGGAGGGAGCTCCGCGCGGTCCGGTCCGGCCCAACCGCGGGAGCCGAGCCCAGTGCCGGGCCGCAGCCTCCCCGGGCCCCTGGGGTGCGGACCGGCTGTCCCCGCGGCCTCTGGTCCCCCCAAGTCTGCGGGGTGACCCGGGGCATCGCCTTTCGTTTCCGGCCGCGCTCCCAGGCCACCCCCCCACCCGACCCCCCCCACCCCCGACCCCCACCCCATCCCCACCGCGGGCGGGAGCCGGTACCCCTGGGAGCCGTTTTCTCCGCCGAGGCTGGCAGCGTTTCTACCCGTGCGGGGCGGGCCGCCTCGGAGCTGGTGATTAGATTCCAGCAGCCCGGCCCCCACATCACAGCTTTGGGGGGCGGGCCCCCCGCAGGTATCCCTGAATGCTCACCCTGCAGCCTCTGGCGCCCCATTACTCCGACCCTGCCCCCCATCCCAAGGCTCCCACCTCCCCTTCCCTTCCATAAAGCCAGACAAAGCAGGGTCTCTTTGGAGGGTTTTTTTTTGTAAAACATTCTTTTATTAAAAGAACAAGTGCTGTTTACGAACTGCCCTTCGTACAAATAACATCCGTTATACAAAGATACAAGAGCCAGGTTATGCACAATTCCAGGCCTGGAGGTGGCGGGTGTTGGGGGGTGGCATTGCCTTTTGGGGTGAGAATAGAAAGGTTTTAGAAAGAATGCAAAAGGAGCCCTGGGTTTGCAAACCATGGCTTCCCCTTCCCGCTCCCCCAGGAAGGGTCTGCTACATTGAGACAGGCTGGGGTGGAGTGGGGGTGCGGGGGGTGCGGGGTCAAGGTTTGGGTCTGGGGTCCTGCCACCGAAGCCCCACGTTGGGCTGGAGGAAGCAAACGAAGGGCAATGCCGGCACCCCCCAGTCCCCAGCTTCTCAGTAGATCAAGTCAGAGCGGTCAGGAGCTAGACGCTTGCAATCCGGGGGTGTGGCTGTAGGGAGTCGGGGTGCTGGGTCCCAGCTTCCCAACAGAAGGGACTTAAACCCCCCAGACCCCTCTCCCCAGGAAGGTAAGCTGGGATAAAGTGAGCTGCCTACCCCTAACTCTGGCCTACCGCACACCAAGGAAGGTGCTGGAAGCTGGCAGGAAGAGGCTGAGCCTGGAAAACTTGTCTGCATTCTAGCTTGGGAAAGAGGAGTGTGGAGATGGCCCTTCCTCAGAGCGGCCCCTCACGTGTCTGGGCTCTTCCTAGGAAGACTTCCCCGGAACTCAGAACAGGAATGGGGGGCGGGGGCGCTCTCATCAGCCTCAAGGTGAGGGCACCTGGAGGGAGCAGCAGGCCCGTGAGCCTGAGGGGGAAGACTCGCACAGGAAAACCTTTTCAAAAGCAACCGTTAAAGTGTCATGTCCGCGAGAGGATCCATCAGCTCTGAGCTAAGACAGTCAGTGCTACACAGATTACCCCCCTCCCGCCCCTGCCCCCGCCCCCGCCAGCACAGCCCCGCACTCACACCGCACTCACACACAAGGACAGCCAGGAAGCCGCAGGGAGGTGGTGCGGAGAAGGGGGAGGTGGGAGGGCCAGGAGGCCAGTGTCCTGAGGGCTGGTCCCTGCTCTGCCAAAGCCCCTGGCCCTCCTGGGCTCGGGGTATCGATCACCTTTGAAGTGAGGATCTGGCTCAAATGACCCCTACAGACAGGTCCCTTCCAGTTCTGACACTCATGCACCTGTGTGAGCCCAAGGCCCGGCAGTGGCCCTGCACGCACACCCCACTCACATCTCCACGGAGCTCCTGCATGCATTTTCAGAACTCCGCTTCCGCCCTGCAGACCACATCCTTCCCCTCCCCTAGACAGAGTGCTCTACAAATCTGCACCCCTGCCCAGGCCCCGTCCAAATTCCCTGGGAAAAGGACCGGGTCTGGGAGGGTCAGGTCAGCAGAACCATTCCCCCTCCCCCACCACATGGGGACCCTGCTCCACCCTGATGATCTCTAGACCTTTCATAGGATAAAGCTCCTAAAAGGTGAAAACGGACCACCGCTCTCCTGCCCCTTCCCATCCCCAATCCTCACCCAGCCTGGGTCCCATCCTCACATCTGACCTGACTGGGAGCTGGGAAACAGATCCCTGGGTGCCGGAGGGAGGAGGCGGCCGGGTTCCAGTGCACTAAGTCATGCGGCCCTCTCTCCCCACGGCAGCCTTGGGGGGCGGGAGGGGGACACCTTATTCCCTCGCCGTCCAGAACAGAAGTTGACTTCAGCTCTCAGTGGACTGGCCTTGGGTGAGGGCGTGGGTGTGAGGGAACAACTCCCTCTAAGAATTTCGGAAAGCTGCTTTTCTTTTCAGTGATTTGGGGGCAGGAGTGAGACAGCTTCATAGGTGAAGATTAATATGACGCTGAGTTCTACCATTGCTAACTGATATTTAGCATTAATAAAAAGTGAGTATTTCTGAGGTCATCACAACGGCCGCCCTTCCCCCCCCCCCCTACCCTCCAAGCCCTCGCAAGGGCCTAAGAAATTGCCTTGGACGGATTCCCACCCACCCCCTCCATGATCAGCTCCCTAACATATGACAAAGTCTCATCAACAGTAATATTAATATTATTTTCAGTATCAGAAAAAGACCAGTTGAGCAGCACAGGCAAAAATATATCTGCACTACGTTTCTGTCATTGCCAAAAATATACACATCTTCTTTTCTTTATTAAAAAAAAAAAACCAACAAAAACCCAAACAGGAACAAACACACACACACACACACACACACACTCACATCCCCACATGCAAAGAGACTGACAAGACATGAGCGTCAGGGAAAGCTGGACATGCCTTCTCCTGGCTCCAACCCCAGTGCAACTGACACGGACACAGGCTTCAACCTCGCCCTCTCCTGGCCGTCCCCCTGCCTCCCAGGCCTTTGCCACCAAAGGCTCGGGGCAGGTGGGGCTCGGTAAGGTGAGAATCTAAGCCCACTAAACCCCGAGGGGGAAGAGCTGGTGGGTGGAGGGACAGTTGTTAGGTCAGCGTAAGCTAAGTCTCCCCTGGTTGGTGGAGGTGGCGGTACGGTGCAGGAAGTAGGCTGGCTTATTCTGGGGGGAAGGTCTTCACCAAAGGAAGTGGATCCCGCCCCCCCTGCTCTGTCCCCCAATCCCTGGGGCTCCCCTTGTGCCAGGGAAGCAGGTGGAGGGAGGGGCGCTCTGAGGGGTCTGGGGAAGGGAAGGCAGGATTTACCCTGATTCAAAGCCCTCAGCCCCCTGTCACTCTCCAGTATTGGAGTTCTGTCCTGATTTTTGTTAACCATTCATGCCCCAGAAAGGGACCAAAGTTGATGAGGGTGCAAACAAGAGCTGGGAGCCCCCTTCTGAGAACTGCTCCTATCCCTGTCCTTGGCTGCCCCAGGTCAAGGGAGACAGACGTACACACGTGTATACACACACACACACACACACGCACACGCACACACGCAGCTAGCTCCATCTCCCCACCCTCGGCACTCCTAAATCCAATATCCAATAGTGCAAAAAGGGGCAGGCAGCAGGGGGGCTGGGCCCGCCCCCATCCCTGGGCCTCCCCCAGAGGTGGGGAGGCTGGGGCGGAGTTAGAGGCCATCCGCCCCTGCCTCAGCCTCCCCGTCTGTGGGCTTTTACAAGCTCAGCTTGTGGCCCTTGTTGGGGGCAGGGGGAGAAGACGGTGAGGAACGGCCTAAGGGACCCTCCTGCCATCTGCCCACGGCGGGCGGAAGCTGCAGGTACAGCAGGCCACCCCTTCCTCCTTAGCAGGTTCTGCGCAGGGGCAGGCCCGGGACCCACCCCACACAAGTGCTGATTCGTTTTATGTGGCGGGTCCAGCCAACCCCCCACCTATGCCACGGCCCACTCTGCTCCCTGGAGGACCTCAGCGCCTTGGCTCCTAGGTCCGCGTGGAGCCGTCCTCCCTCGGTCTCTGCAGAGGGGAGAGAGGCCAGAGAGAAGGCGCTCCCCGCTCAGGCTCAGTCCCCAGCACCGGGCGCACCCACACTCGCCAGGTCTCAGCGCGTGCGCGCTCCGGGCTGGGGCTCTCCAGGATCGGGGCGCAGGTGCCTGCTCCAGGCTAGGACCCCCTCAAGCCGGGACTGCCCCCTCCGCTTTGGGGGTCAGGAGGGGTGTGGACGGAGTTAGCCTTTTTCCTGGTTGGCTGAGGCTCCTTTGTCAGCGGTCTGGAAAGAGAGGGAGGGAGGCTGGGGGTTTGGGGGAAGCATTTGCTAACACCCAGCTGAGAACAGCTCTTTGGGTGAGAGGTGCAGGGAGGGTGCCCAGCTCCAGTTCCTGACGTGAGCTCTGATGGGCAGACATCCAAGTCAACAACATGTTGTGTGTGTGTGTGTGTGTGCGTGTGTGTGTGTGCGGTGTGTGGGGGGCGGGAGGGGAGTGTGCTCTGCACAAGGGTGCCTGGCTAAGCGGGCATGCTCCAGCCAAAGCCAGCACCCTGTGCTGTCTATGCCCTCAGAGTGGCATAAAGTGGGCATTTCCAGAAAGACCCGCCCAGAGCACCATCTCCTTCTACTGAGGCAGGAAATGCCTTTCTAATTGGTCTTCCCAGAGGAATGCTGCTTCCTCACTGGTGCTTTCGCCATTGGTGATGCTCAGAGGGCCTTTCTTGGGTCTGCAGGAGGGAACCCAGGTGCCTGCAGAGGCCTGGGGTCTGGAGCAGGGGCTTTGCTGACCTAGGGGTCACTTCCTCCTCCTCCTCAGGATGCACCCGATGATGGACCTTCTGATGCTGCCTATGCCAGAGCAGAAGACAGGTCAGCCCCAGACCCCTTACTCACCCCTCCTTTGGGGCCGTCCGCCCCCGACAGGCTGAGGAAGGGGTTGGTCTGAGCAGTCAGGACCGGAGGGCCGCCCGCTGCCGCTACTGCTGCTGCGGCCGCAGCTGCTGCGGCCATGAGACTCGTGTTGTTGCCGAGGGAGGGAGCCACCAGGGCTCCGGCGGGCAGCAGGGGTGGGGCGGGTGCCGCGGGCAGCAGGCCAGGAGTGCCCGCAGACAGCAGGGGGGCAGAGCTTCCTGCCAGCAGGCTGGCCATGGGCAGCTGGGAGCCCCCGGCCATCTGCAGCCGCTGCAGCTCCCGCTTCTGCTGGATCTGCTGGATCATCTGGTAGACCACGGTCTGGTGTTCCTGCAAGGAGACCGGACCGCTCACTGGCCGGTGGCTCCCAAGGCCGGCTTGCCCACGCCCCATCCCATCACAGTGGAGGCAGGAGAGGGTCAAGGTTCTCCTGTCTCTATCTCCCCACTCAGGGCCTCAGTTTCCCCATCGGGACAAGAAAGTGGTTGCACACTATCAGTGTCTGTCATGTGGGACAATACTGGCCAAGCACCAGGTGTCTGCCATCCCTGGCCTTGCTCCACTCAAGTCAGCTCCCCAGTCACTATGACAACCACCAATTCCCCTAGGGGTGGTAAGACCCCAACTTGAGAAACATTAAACCAGGTCAACAGTTTTCAACTCCTCCTCTTTTTTTTTTTTTTTTTTTTTTTTAATATATTTTATTGATTTTGTACAGAGAGGAAGGGAGAGAGATAGAGAGTTAGAAACATCAATGAGAGAGAGTCATCGATCAGCTGCCTCCTGCACCCCCCCCACTGGGGATGTGCCCGCAACCAAGGCACATGCCCTTGACCGGAATCGAACCCGGGACCCTTCAGTCCCCAAGCCGACGCTCTATCCACTGAGCCAAACCGGTCCTGGCTTGTTTGCTTTTTTAAATTTAAGATTCATTTATTTTTGCTTTGAGAATGCAAAAGCATTTTCGAGTTTTCTGAAAACCAAAACAGTGTATCCTGGTTTACCCTGGGAAATTGTGCTCCTAACCTTTCCCATCTGGCCCTCAGAGATGACCAGTTAAATTGGGTTCTTGTGTCTCTTTCTAATGTTTCTTTATGTGAAAGTGACTATTGTTTATATAGTTCCAGCTCCCTCCTTTTCACCGAAGGAAATCTTAGCGAAGCCCAACATGCAAGGCAGACCCAAACGGGGCTGCTCTGGCTGAGGGGTGCCACCCGCTCAGCCGCCTCCCCACACACACTCTGAGGCTCCCCCCTAAAGACCCCTGGGGCTGGGACTGGAAATGCTCAGTCACTGAGGACTTGCCACCCTCTGGACCTGCTCTCCTAGAGGCTGCTCCAGGCCCACAGGGGGCCTCTCAGCCCCGCCTGGCGCTGTCCGCCCTCCCAGACCCAGGCCTCTCCAGCAGAGCGGGGTGGGGCCAGGAAAGGAGGGGTTACCGGGGTCAGCTGTGGGGAGGCCAGGAGCTGCTGGAGCTGCTGGAGCTGCTGCTCTTGCTGCTGCAGGAGGTGTCTCTGCTGCTCCGTGAGGCTGAGGCAGGGGACAAAGCACAGACCATGGGAGGGACAGAGAAACACCCGCTCCCACGAGTTCCCAGACTCCCTCAGACTCGGGGAGAGAGGCAGACTGAGCTCGGGGAGGACAGCGGGAGGTACGTCAGGTGGAACTTCCCCAGGAGGGAGACCTAGGTAGGGGGATAGGAAATAGACGGCTGGGTCCTAGAGAGTTGCCATCCAAAGGGCACTCACAACTCACATCTAGGGAGTACCTGGGGCCAAGAGGTGGCTGGATTCTATACGATTGGAGGACATTTTCCCCTTTGGGGGGAACCCCTCCCATAACCAGCCTCCCCGTTCCCTCACCTGTTGAGACAGCCTGGCAGCTGCAGCGTAGGAGCCCCACCGGCCTGGCTCAAGCCTGCAGGGTTGGGGGCAGCAGCCCCATTCAGCCCCCCCAGGAGCCCATTGAGGGGCAGTGCCCCACTGCCCGCCAGCCCCCCCAACAGCCCCTCGGCCATGGGCATCGCCCCCAGCCCCGCTGCCCCCGGTGCTCGGCCCAGCCCGTTCTGCGGCTGGGCTGGGAGTGGGGCGGGGGCTCCGGGCAGGGCCAGGGGCAGTGTGGCCGGGCTCTGCTGGAGCAGGGGCAGCGGCGGGGGCGTGCTGTGGAAGGACAGCGAGGAGCTGCTGCGGCTCGGGCAGCCTGAGTGTGGGTCCTGGGGAGGAAGGGAGAGGGAGGGGTCAGAGGGGCAGGGGGCCAGGGTGACATTTCTGGCCCTCAGCCCAGCACCCACCAACATGCTGAGAGCACACCAACACCCCCACCTCACCCCCAGGCAGAGCCACCAGGAGGAAGAAGCGGGGCCCAGGGGTTAAGGCTAAGCATCCTCAGTGTTTTCACAAATCACGTTCACAGCACCCGCCGTCCTTGTCTAACACTGAACACCAATGACACTCTAGGAAGCCAGACTCGGGGTTCAGCGCCTGACCCCCACTCTCATTCTCCCCATGGCCTAGGCTTAGACAGACTAAGGGACTTCACAGACAGCTAGGGTGACAGGCGCGGGTTCAAACCCTGTGTCCACAATTCAATGGTGTGGGTGGCGTCTCTGCCTCCGTTTGCTCATTCGTCACATGAGGGTAACATAGTATTGTACCTACCCCAGAGTGAAGACTAAACAAACCGATGCTTTAAAAATCTCAACACAGGACATGACGGAGGGCAAATATGCAGTTAACAGTAGTTATTTTGATGATTATTACTGCCCAAGTCACTCAGTTAGCAAGTGGCAGAGAGAACAAGAAACTAGCTTGCTTCATTTCAGTAATAACCACAACATAACAATAGAGCCTGCCGCCCCAACCGCCGCCAATTACCCAGGAATTCTGTGTGTGAGGCACTGTAATGAACCCGTCACAGACACTCACAGAGGCCTTCCCTACCCACTTCTATCCGCAGAGAATCCCAAGCCCCACTCGTCCTCACAGCCCTCAAATTCTTTCCGTTTTAGCATTTCTCCCGGCTTATCATCATTGACTCTTTTCTCGGATTTAGCCTATTTCAGGAGCAGGACTGCGTCCATTGTGCTCACTAAGTGCTTTGCCAGTTGCCTGGCATTAAGTAGAAGCCTCATAATTATGACCGATCTAATGAAGGAATGCAAGGATCCATCAACTCATTGCTCTGCCAATCACTCCACTGCCCCACCTCCAATGGCTGCAAGGTGGGGCGGGGCCAGGAGGCCCTCGCGCCTCCCTCTCCCGCCCCGCCCCGGGGCCTGCGGGGGCCCACCTCCGAGGACGTGGACAGCGAGTTGTCCAGGCCGAGGCTGTTCTTCCCGGGAGGGCTCTTGCTGGTGCTCAAGGAGTCGCTGCTGCCGGCTGAGGGAGGCGGATCAGGGGAGGCGGTCAGGCCTGGAGTCGGAGCTAGTTCCTGCCGCCCGGCGTGGGCCCGCCCTCCCAGGCTGGGGAAGCTGCCTTACCTGGGGGAGGCAGGCCGTAGGGCCCAGGGACAGGGCCGTTGGCGGCGGGCAGGACGGCGGGCAGGGCGGGGAAGGGCACGGAGAGCTGCACGTTGAGAATCTGCAGCCGCTCCTTCTTGGCCGTCAGGCTCAGGATCTGCTCCTGCAGCCGCTGGTTTTCCTTCTGCAGCGCGTGCAGCGCCTTCAGCATCTCAACGACTGAGGAGAGGGGACCGGCGCCTGAGGGGGCGTGGCGGGGGCGTGGCCAGAGCGGGGCGTGGCGGGGGCCGGGGCGGGGCCAGAGGGCGGGGCCGGGGCCTGACGGGGGAGTCGGAATGGGACCTCGGAAAGAAGGCGTGGACTGGAAAGGGGGTCAGGTGAGCTCGGAGAGGCGGGCCTGGGGAACCCCAGGTGTGAGGACCACCGGCGGGGCCTGGGGCTCGGTCTGAGGCCACGTGATGGGGAGGCAAGGAGCGGGCGAAAACTCGGGGCTAATAGGGTATGGGCTAGGAGTCCGGGGGGACCAAAGGCAGGGTGCAGAGGGTGCAGAGGTCGCGGCGCCAGGTGCAGGGCCCAGAAGGGGCTAAAGGGGAGGCTGAGGTTGGCAGGAGTTAGAGCCGGGGTAGGGTCTAGGCCGGGAGAACCTTGGAGACGTTTGGGAACTTCAGGGAGAGGGGGGACCGAGTCTGGGTCCTGGGGCAGGCCTCCCAGCCCCTCACTGTTGACGCCGGCCTCGCCGTCGCCCTGCTTCTCCAGCAGCTGCTCCATGTTGGTCGTCCCGGGGGCTGCTGGGTCTACCTGGCCGCCCCCGCAGGGTGCGGACGCCGTCTGGTCGAAGAGTGCGGGGAGGCTGCTGATGGGGGACCTGGGATCGGAAGGGCACACTGGGCTCAGGCTGACCTCCCATTCCTCTCTCCTCCCCGCCCTTCTCAGGGGTTCCAGCCATCCGCGTCTGAACCCCACCCTCTCCTGGTGCCCGCTCCAGCCCCGCTCCCAGCCCCTCCCCAGCCGCCGCGCCCTCTCTCACATGGAAGACAGACTCTCCTGAGGGGAGGTCCCCCGACACCGGAAGCTGCAGTCCTCCAGGTCTGGCTCTTGGAAGGAGAAGGGAGGCGGGGATCAGCGGGGAAAGGATGCCAGTCGGCCGCTCGGTCCCCTCCGGGAAGTGGGCATGGGATCTGGAACCTTACAGCAGACCCCTTCCCCAGGACCTCCCAACCCCAGTTCTGGGAGCATGGAAACTGGGCCCCTTGGAAGGAAAGCCACGGATCTGGTCTCTTCCCTTCTCTAAGCAGGCTATTTCCCTCCGCCTGGCTATTTCCACACCTCCCGATTTCTTTTCGGGGAGCTAAATGCTATAGGAATTTTGGATCTAGACATCCCTGGGTCAAACTGGGATTTGATACTTGCTCTGTGAACTCGGGCTTGCAACTAACCTCTGAAGTGATTGTTATGAGACTTAAAAATAAGGCAAATACATGTGAAGAGCTGAGCTGCATGCAGGAAGCCCATAGTAATTGTGGCTATTATGTTTTGTGTGGCTTTTTATATGCATAAACTCACAAATTAGATGGCAAAGCCCTTATTGGGGACACAGCATTCCTATTTGGGTTGTGGGGGAGAGGGGTGTGTCATCCTACTGTGTCAGGTCTTTAACTCTGGATTCGGTCTCTTTAAGGCCTACCTGAACTGGTGGCGGGTGGTAGGCCACGCCCCTGGCTGGCTAGGTGGTGTGTCTGCACCAATCAGCTCTCTGGGGCTAGGTTGACTCTCAAGGGAGAGGGTGGGGCGCTTATGACCCGCCCCTTTAACTCCTATATAACCGGAGAGCAGGTTGCCCAGCTGGTTGGGATCGCTGTAACGGCTGATCCCAAGGACTCACTATAAGGCCAGCTGATCCTACAGACTCACTACGAGGCCGGCTGGGAGCCATACTGGGAGCGGTAAGAAAACTGGGGTCAGAGTCAGGAGATCAGAATTTCCCTACTTCAGCTGCTCACGCATTAATCTCTGCTTTCTCCCGTGACTTGGAGCAGTAATTCTCTCCTGTCCTGTCCCAACCCCTCAGCAGGTTTTAACCTGAAAGTGTACCCAGGTTTGTTGTGTGTGAAAACTTTTTCCGCAGGGTGGGCAATGGCCAGAGGGAGGGGGCAGCCAGAAAGCCCTCCCACCTCTTTTGGGGGGAAGACATGCAGGGGATGGATGCCCCTGACCTTTGGGAAGAAAGGGGAACGGGGTCCGAGACTCACATACCTGTGTGGCTGCTCTCAGCTTGGGTAAGGATGGGGTTAACGACACCCATGGGGGTTCCAAAGATGTGGGTAGAAGGGAGGCTAAAGGTAGAGCCAGCCAGAGAAAACACCTGAGGGGAAGGAGGGAGAGTCCAGCTGGGGGTTATTCTCAGATCTAGGGCACAACTGTGCTTATGGGGTGGGGGTAGAGGGGACCAGGCGTGCTGGGGGGAGAGAGGGCCAGAGACAGGGAGCAGTTCTGGGGATCAAGCCCAGTATCTCAAGTTCCCATGGAGGGCTGGGGTCTCTAACAACCTGTCCCCCTCCTGCCCAGGGATGGAGAGCCCTGCAGTAAGTCCTCACCTGAGTGGTGGAGATAGAAGCAGAAGAGGAGGGGAGGGTGCTGGTGAACGGGGAGCGGCTGAGGCGGGGCAAGGCAGAGGTCCCGGGGGGCCCCAGCAGGCTGGAAGAGAGGGGGGTGCTGCAGACCGTCCGCAGCATCCCGCTGCCGCCGTGGGAGATGGGGTCCTTGTTACTGGTGTAGATGCCTACAGGCACAGGACACGGAGGAAAGCGACAGTTACGTCGCCCCCCAGGCAGGTGGCGGGGGAGCCCCTCCCCCAGGAGGACGTTCCCTGCTCCTGGCACTAGCCTACCCTCAGCTTGGCGCAGATGTCACTGTTTGCCTGGGTGGTATCTGCTTGACATGCCTATTCACTGACCTGCCCTGCCCGGGCCTGGGGGATTCCCAGCTATTCTAACATCCCAACTGAAACTTTTTATGTCCTACTGACAACCTAACACAATCTCTCCTGCTACAACCAAGCAGAAGATGGGTATAGAGCCGAAACCAGTTTGGCTCAGTGGATAGAGCGTCGGCCTGCAGACTGAAAGGTCCCAGGTTCGATTCCGGTCAAGGGCATGTACATTGGTTGCGGACACATGCCCGGTAGGGAGTGTGCAGGAGGCAGCTGATCAATGTCTCTCTCTTATCTATGTTTCTAGCTCTCTATCCCTCTCTCTTCCTCTCTGTAAAAAAATCAGTAAAAGGGATGGGTACAGAGGAGTGTCTTAGAGGTGCCTATCGCTTCCATCCTTTACCTCTGTCCTTTGGTGTAGTGTCTATCACATTCCCTTCTGACGACATGCTTATCCCTCTGTTCCATCCCTAGGCCGGCTGGGCCCTCCGATGCCCACCATCCCAAAGGGTCACTAACCTGCCCCCAGCAGGGGGGACTCCAGGCTCAGGCTGGGCAGGCTTAAGGAAGGCCCGAAGGTGCGGGAGGCCAGACCGCCCAGGCCGGAGCTGACCAGGGAGCCTCCTGAGAAGGGTGAGGCCGCCGTGGCGGTGAAGCCAGCCAGCTGGGCGCCAGGCAGGGAGGGCGCCGCGGGGGCGCCTACACACTCCTCGTTCCGGCCGCCCTTGGGACGGCCTGGCCCGTGGCGGCTCCTCTTGCTGGCTTTGTGCTTCTTCTCCTTCACGCCTGTCTCAGGGGGGGTCTCTTCGGCGGGCGCGGGGGCAGCGCTCAGGGTGGGCATCCGCTTGTGGGTGCCTGCTGAGGTCCCAGACCCTGAGAGGTGAGGAGACTTGTAGTCCCCGGGGGATGGGGCCCGGGCCCGGCCTGAGCTGGAGGTGGAGGTGGAGGTGGAGGTGGAGAAGCGCATGATGGGCCCAAAGCTGGAGAAGACCACCTTCTGCTCAAAGAGGTCAGTCTTGGGGGGCTCGGGAGCCGAGGGGGAGGGGGGGGCTGGAGGGGTGGCGGCCGCGGGCTTGGAGTACTTGTCCTCCTCCGGCTGCTCCAGCTTGGGGAAGGCAGAGAAGTCGGGGGAGCTCTGCAGGGACGCAACTGCACAGAAGGAAAACAGAATTACAGCTGCATCCGGGCTCCCCCCCCCCCCCCCAGGATGCACCAGTGGGAGAGCCTGGTGTCCTGTCCCAGCTCCGCCACTATCTCTGTGTCCAGGGTGTGTGGCCTCCCCCCCCCCCCCACGGACAATAAAGGGGGAGGGGAGAGTTCCAGCTCCAAAGGGAAGGGTGAGGGAAGGGTTGGGAGAAGTATAATTTGGTGGGGGAATCCCCCATCTTTGACCTGAGCCAATGTAAGAAGCAAATGAGAGCCCTAGCCGGTTTGGGTCAGGGGACAGAGCGTCAGAGTACGGACTGAAGGGTCCAGGTTCGATTCCGAGCATGTGCCTCAGTCGCAGGCTTGATCCCCAGCGCCTGTGGTGGCGGTGGGGAGGGTGCATGTGGGAGGCAACTGATCCATGTGTCTCTCTCACATTGATGTTTCTCTCTCTCTCTCTCTGTCTCTCCCCCTCCCTTCCACTCTCTCTAAAAAATCAATGGAAAAATGTCCTCGGGTGAGGATTAAAAAAACACACACACAAAAATAAAATAAGATGCAAACTAATATGCAAAGGCCCTTGCTGGAAAAGCTCAGGGCCGAAGGCTGCCCCATTCCCAGCCTCCTCCAGGAGGCTCACCTGCCCACACTCACCTGCAGGCTGGAAGGGGCCCCCAGAGGAGGAGGAAGAGGAGGAGGAAGAGGAGGAGGAAGAGGAGGAGGAAGAGGAGGAGGAGGCGGAGGTGAAACTGCTCACACCTTTCCCACTGCTCAGCTTCTTCCCCTTGTGACTCAGGCTATGGCTGGAAGACTTTTTCCCCTTCGGGTCCCTGTTGCTCTCGGAGGTCTCCTGAGTGCTGGCCTCGTGGTGGGAGGAGGAGGAAGCTGAGGAGGAGGCCTAAAGAAGGGAGGAGAGAGGAAGGCTTGAGACCAGCTGCCTGGGCCTGGGTTCACCCTGACTTGGGAGTGGAGCAGGAGCACACAGGACCCGGGCTTCACGGGGAGAGTCCAGAAGCTTCGAGAAGGATCCCGGGTGGAGAGGTGGTGCCAGGAGTCCCTAGACCAGGAAGATGGGGAAGCGGCTGTGGAACTGCTGGGTGTGAGGAGAGCTGAGCATTCTGAACCCAAGAAGCTGTCTGTCCTTCCCCTCGGGTAGGAGATGAAAACAGTCTCGAAGTCTGTACTAATATACTCTCTCATTCATTCATTCATTCATTCATTCAGAAATACTTGTTGGCCCTAACTGGTTTGGCAAAGTGGCTGGAGCGTCGGCCTGAGGACTCAAGGGTCCCAGGTTTGATTCCAGATAAGGGCATGTACCTTGGTTGCGGGCACATCCCCAGTAGGGAGTGTGCCAAGAGGCAGCTGATTGATGTTTCTCTCTCATCGATGTTTCTAACTCTCTATCCCCTCTCCTTTCCTCTCTGTAAAAAATCAACAAAACATATTAAAAAAAAAAAAAAGAAAGAAATACTTGCTGGACTTATGTTGGGAAGTGGTGAGGGCCTGGCCGCATCTGTGGGCCCTCCAGTCACCATCCTTCCCTCCTTGCTCTCCCCGAGCTGCAGCCACCCGCCGACACCCTAGTCCCTGGCCCTCCGTGCCTCTCCTAGACAGCCTGAGCTCCCAGCACTGAGCCCTCTGCCAGGAGGGCCTATTACTCTTCTTGGAAAACTTCTCCTTCAAAATCCAGCTTGGAAGCCCACTCTTCCAGGAAGCCACCCTGGATTCCTGGGGCGGAATAAGCCACGCTGTCCTCTTAGTTCCAGGGCACCATGTGCCCACATCAGCCATGCCAACAGCTGCCACTGAAATATACTGTCCCCATTTCTGGGGGCCCCCGTCACCCCTCTGAGGGCGGCGGGGCAGGGGCGGGAGGGGGGTTGGCGCTGCATTTGCTGCCATGTTTACGTTGCATGGTCTCTCCCCTTCCCTGAGGGACCTAATGCCAGGCACTCGCTGCAGGGTCAGCCATGAGGATGGTGATGGCTGTGGCTGCTAGTAACACACTGCAGTGTCTGACTGTGCTGGTTGAGAGTACAGGCCTTCAAGTCAGGCTGCCTGCGTTCAGATCTTGACTCCACCACTACCTGGCTGTGCGCTTTGAGGCAAATTAGTTAACCTCTCTGCACCTCGAGTTTCTTCATTTATTAAATGGGGTTAATAAAACTGGACTGTTTTGAGGATTAAACCTCGAATCCCTGTACACCCTGCAGGTCCCCGCTCTAGAAGGCAGGCTGGCGCGCGGGGGCTGAGTGAGAGCATCGTATTACTGCCAGGGATGGAGACCAGGTATGCGTCAGCCTCTGCTAAACCAGCAAATGCCCACGGGAGGATGGATGGGGGAAAGAGCCACCCTGTGCCGCCCTCCCTGGGGGGAGCCCTGGTCTCCTCTCCTTTGTTCTTTCCAACAGCTGGAGTTCTGAAGGGAGCCAGATGTGGTTCTGAGAGCAAGGCAGGAGAGGGCCTGGGGGGAGGGGCCGCAGCAATGCTGGGGCGGGTGAAGGGGGTGAGCAGAGTGCTCCAGCATGTCCGAGGGAATGCCCAGCCCCGGGGGCTACTCGCGGACCTCTGCCCTCTCCTTCTGCCTGTCTGCAGGCTCCGGGGTAAGGGCACAGGGCAGAGGACCAGCTTTTCCAGGTGAGTCCTGGAAAGCAGGGCAGGGAGAGGGTTACTGGGGTAGTTGCCACAGCAACATCCCCCTGGAAACCTGATACCTGAGCCTCCTGCAAACAAGATGCCCAGAGCTCTGCCAACCTGGGCAGGCAGTGGGCGTGAACGGAGCCATGCTGGCCTGCGGAGGAGCTGTTTCTCTAGGCCCCTCTCACCTTCCCTGGGGCGGGCAGGCTGGCAGGAGGGGCGCAGAGGGCTGCTCTGGCTTGGATTAGGGGCTCCCTGGCCTCGGGGAAGGGCCTGCTGTTTGCTTATCCTGATGTTGCCCTTTCCTGGAGACAGGCCTGCCATACCATGCCCCTCCTGGGACGGTGGGATGAGGGGGGTGGGGTTTCAGGGTGTTGTCAGGGCCCTGCCACGGGCCATACTTTCAGTCCCTCCAGCATGCACAGAGTAGGATTTTGGTTAGCTCACAGGCTGGGGGCGTCTTCCTGACAGTGAGAAGAGGTGCAAAGGGCAGGGGCTGAGAGAGACGGGGTCCTCCCAGCCTATCTCTGGAGAACAGGCTCCAGAGTTTGGAGAACTGGAGAAGTGAGCATGTCTCCACAGACGAGAGCCCAGCGCGGAGGCTCCCTGTCTGGACAGAGGCAGAGGTGCCATCTGGCAGCCAGCAGGGAGGGCGGCACCCCCACCCACCTCTGCCTTCCTGCTGGCACATGATGGGTGGGGCTGTAGAGGAGGTGGGGAGCAGAGGCACATTAACCTAAGCTGTGGGGGTGCCCAGGTCCCTGGCTCACCCTGACCCTGCACACCCAGCCTCCCTCCTGCTGCTGTGGCCATCCCTCCGGGGCGTGGGCAGCGGTACCTTGTCAGCAGCGGGGGCCGCGGGTGGGGTGAGGATGCTGGAGGGTGAGTCAGGCCGCTTCTTGTGCTTCTGTTTAAGGCGTTCCTTGTCCTTTCGGCTCTGGGGAAGGACGGGTGAGCGGATATTGGTTTGGGGGCACTGGGGTGAAGATGACACGTGCATGTGGACAGAGGACCCCTCCCAGGGATGGGCTTTGTGGGTGTCACCTGCCCCTCTGGTGGGGCTGGGGGCTTTGGCTGGACAGGAGTGGGTCAGGCAGGGTCCTCGGAGAGCCAACAGCCCCTCGTCCCGTTATCACGCTGGTGACACACAGCACCACACACGTGAGCACGCACCTGCCAGGGTGTCCGCCAGGGACACGGAGCTGTGCAGAGGGGTGGGAGCCAGGCTCACTGTGACATGAGGCACAGGGGACGCAGGCCTATACACTTACAACCTGGGCGGACACAAGGCTAGACCGAGGAGATGTGTGCAGGGCCATGTACTGGGGGCTGTCGGGGCACTGCCGTGTCATGGGGAGGACGGTGCGTGTCATGAGGAGGACGGTGCCGTGTCATGGGGAGGACGGTGCCATGTCATGAGGACGGTGCCGTGTCATGGGGAGGACGGTGCCATGTCATGAGGACGGTGCCGTGTCATGGGGAGGACGGTGCGTGTCATGGGGAGGACGGTGCGTGTCATGGGAGGACGGTGCGTGTCATGGGGAGGACGGTGCGTGTCATGGGGAGGACGATGCGTGTCATGGGGAGGACGATGCGTGTCATGGGGAGGACGGTGCGTGTCATGGGGAGGACGGTGCGTGTCATGGGGAGGACGGTGCCGTGTCATGGGGAGGACGGTGCCGTGTCATGGGGAGGACGGTGCGTGTCATGGGGAGGACGGTGCGTGTCATGGGGAGGACGGTGCGTGTCATGGGGAGGACAGTGCGTGTCATGGGGAAGACACTGGAAGAGCCACACAAACCCGAGAGCCCCAGGGAAGCCAGGCCCTCGCCTCACCGTCTGTGACCCTCTGTGATCCTCCTGTCACTTCTGCAGCCCCCTCCCTGCTCTCAGTGGCCTCAGAGGAGGGGAGAGGCAGGCTCCTTGGCCGGGGGCCCCTTGTGGGGGCTTCTGGAAAGAGGCCTGAGTTTGGGAAGGGGCAGCACAGGGAGCGGGGGAAGACGCCTACCTTCTTCTGTGCCCTTTCGTGGTGGGAAGGGTGCTTGTCCTGCTGGGCGGACGGGGAGGCTGACCGGCTTCTCCGGCCAGCGATGAAGCCACTGCCGCCTCCCCCGGTGCCGCCGCCGCCTCCCGCGGCCGCCGCTCCGCCGCCTGCCCCGCCGGTGTGCCGGGAAGTCTTCTGGGGGGAGAATGGAGAGGAGCTGCCACACGCTCCGCTCATCGGCTTAGAGGAAGGTTCCTGAAGGTCAGGTGACCCTGGGGGCCCCTCCCCTGGCCCGCCGGGCCCTGGGAGGGCCTGTGTTCTCAACGAGGCTCTGCTCAGCGAAGTCAGAGCTTCCCCAGCGAGTGTGCCCAGCGCACAGACGGGACCACTGAGGCCCAGAAGAGGCCAGGCTGCAGCAGGGCGTGAGGAGGCGGGCCTGGGCCAGGTCCCTGCTCTCCACCGCCTCTTTCCACAGGTCCTCCTGGCCCTTCGCAGGCAGCTGAGCCAGCGCCCACTCTGCCTCCGTTCCTGGGGCAGAGGATGTATGGGGGCCCCTTGGGGGAACCCCTGCTCCTCTCCACTCCACACCCCAGCCTCCCCTCGGCCAGCAGCCCTTCTCCCTTGTTCCCAGCCCCGCCCCCTCCCCAAACACAGTGGTTCCTTCCTTCCAGAACTGCTGCCCTGAGAAGGGGAAGTCAGCATCCACAGCAAAAGCCCAAACGACCCCCATGCTGCCTCCCCCCAGCCGGGGCCTGCTCCTTCCTTCCTTCGCTGCTAACAGACGCCCCAGGCCCAGGGTGATGGCCTCTGTGTCCCTGCCCTGCAGCTGCTCCCTGAGGTCACCCACTGCCCACCAATCACCAAACCCAAGGACTCATTTCAGACCTCGTCTGACCCAATCGCGCCCCCCCCCCCCCCGCCCCGGGCACTGATCTTACCACCATCCCAAGCTCCCAAGACTCTCCCATTCACGGTTCCCTTCCCACCCTGACCCTCCCTACCCTGACAGGCACCTGGGGGTTCCAGCCCCAGCCTTATCCACCTGGGACCGGCACTCCCACCCAGCCCAGGGTGTCTGACAGCCACCGAGCCTCACCACTCCCACTTGGCACCGCCTGCAAACCAAACCTCCCTCCCTCCCTCATCCTAAGTCATCATCAAACCCTGGAACCAAGGCAGCCATGTAACTTATGAACCAAACCAGGACACGGCTGACATTGAAAGCGGGAACTATTAACGATTCCACCAGGGCAACAGGCACAAACAGGGGCTGCCTGGGGTAGACGAGGGCAGATGCTAACCCTACGCCAGCCTGTCCCTAACATCCCCGGGCGCTCAAACCCATCCACCCGGCTCTCAGCGCCGGGATCTTATCTGCCACCCTCCACGCCTCCTCCTCGGCTCCCACACACGGCAAGTCCACCTAGAAATGTTCTCAGCTCAGCCGCATCCCTCCATCCCCCGCCCTGCGCAGCTGTCTCCCTCCCCTTTGGATCCGGCTTCCCCGGGCCTGCCAGGGTAATCTTCCCTAAAAAACAAATCCGATCATGTTACCCTCCCGCGTACAAGCAGCCTCACAAGCCTATGGCCCGCGGGTGAGGTCCAAGCCGCAATCCTAGTCTGGCCACAGCCCTCTCTCCGGGACACACACAGCCGCTGGAGCCCGCAGTCTTTCCAACAAACATGAGACAGTACCCCTTCTCCAGCCTCGCCAGGGCTCCCTGCAGCCTGGGGCGGAGGGAAGCCCAGCTCTGGCCCTGCCTGAGCTTTTCTTTTTTCTTTTATTTTTTTGCCTCATCTGCTTTAACCCCACCCAACACGCTGCTCTGCTGCTCAGAAAATTCTTTCTCCTCTCAGACGTGGCCCACGCCAGTCCCGCTGCCTGGGGTTCCTTTCCTTCTGAGGGGCTTTTAAATCGGACTGTCTGTCTGAACCCCATCCATGCTGCAAGATAAGGTACAGAACCTCAGTGGGTCTTAGTTTACTCATCTGTAAAATGGGAAGATGCAGGACATCTAGTCCTTAGGGTCGTTGGAAGGATCGTACAAAATAGTACATGCAGAGAACTTAGTACAGAGGCCGGGGCACAGTAAGCCCCACCCCCACATGTTGCCTCCGGTTCCGCCTCCATCAGCTTCTGTGCCGCCTCCTTCCCAGACTGACAGGAGCTCTGGCTTCTGGGCGGGCTGAAGGGTTTAACTCTGATCCACACCCCCAGGCTCTGCTTCCGTTGACTCTCCATTCACTGGAGAACCTCAAGGGCAGGGCCGGGTTCCTTCCATCCCCGTCATCACGCGCAGCGGGCACCAGCCTGGCCCAGAGCCCACGCCCTCCAAACCGTGGCTGACGGACCCAGCCGTGCCCTGGTGGACGACACTCACCATCTTGCTGAAGTGGTATTTGCAGTAGCCGCAGTACTTGACGTTGTCAACCTCCAGCACCTCTTCCTCGCACAGCAGGCCTGCCATTTGGGCACTAACCAAGAGAGGTCAGCCTGAGAAGGGTGTGGCCACACACACCAGCCCAGCCTCTGCCCTTCTCCCCTCCTGGACCCGCACGGGGGCAGAGCCAAGGCCAGCCCAGGGAAGCGCTGTCTGTCTGTCGTGATCACCAGACAGCCGCCAGGATCAGCCCATTGGGTGGCCTTCCATGGCAAACCTCGGAGGGGACCCCGGAGAGGCCCGGAGTGGGAGGCGAGAGGCGGGCAGGGGTCTCACCAGGTGACGTGGAAAGCTTGTCGACATCCGTGGCGGTTGCAGGTCATGCAGGCTCCGGAGGCAGCCTTGCTCTCGCGGCCCTGCTCCTCGCAGATGTAGCAGGTCTGCAGGACACAGCGCTCTCGTCCCCTCCTCCCTCCCTCCTCAGGGACCCCCTCCGTCCCAGCCTTCCTCCATTATCCAGGCTAGTGCCGTCCAGGAGAACCTTCTATGAGGATGGACAGGTTGTATGCTGCACTGCCCAGTACAGTAGCCGTGAACCTCATGGGCACCTGCAGTGTGGCCGAGGACCTGAACTTTCAGTAGGACTTGGTTTGAAATTGCACAGCCACGTGGCTGCCGGCTCCTATGGTGGGGAGCACGGTCCTCGGGGACTGCGCCTGCCTTGCTCACTGGGAGGCTTATTCTCACCTCCGACTTGAACCTGGAGCCCGCAAGGCTGACTCCCATGCCCCTGGTCTTAGCCTGCCTCTTGCCGTTACCACTTTAAACCAAGCCTCCCCCCCCCCCCCCCCGCAGTATTCTTTATTTCAGTGCCTTGCTTTCTTCACAGCACTCATCACAAACGGCATTTACGTTGTTTGCCTGTTTGTTGATATTTACGGTCTTCCCGCACACCGGTGTGAGTTTTCGGGGGCACCTCTGTTTTGATCAGTACTGACCACTGCGCGCCTCAGGGTGCCCTGCCCTGGGTGTGACGCACAGTCAGCACTCAGTGGCTGCTGGCTAAGGGCTACCCTCTGACAGCGCTTGAATTCCAGAGAACGAGCACGTCTGTCAGGGAAAGGTGCCTACTCACTTCCTGAGTTTCCTGAAAGTGTGTGTGGGACAGAATCAGATTTCGCTGGATGGGAGAGGTGGAGGGACCCCGCCAGGGAGGGGACCTGCGGGAGGGCAGGGCGGGGGCCGCTGACCTTGTTGAAGCGATCGTGAGGCACGTACTGCAGCACGATGGGCTCCATGGTGAGCACGTTGGCGAACTGCACCTCGGGGATGTAGAGGGCACACACCACGTGGGCCCAGCCTGGGGCGGCGTGGGGCAGGCCTCAGACAGGTCCTAGACTGGGACCCCTCACAGCCCACCCTGCAGGCAACCCGCCTCTGTGGCCTTCCCATCGGATCCCAGTGCCAGCCAGGAAAGGGAGATCGGGCACCCCCCCCCCACACACACACACCCCTGCCTTCCCAGACCCTTGCTCAGGGGGCCTTGCTGACCTCAGCAGATGAGCCCTGGAGCTCAGGGCCCCCCTCACCTCCATTGTCAGTCCTCTTCAATGCCCCGTCTTTGTGTGGGCACAGCTCACACCTCTGCCAATGCAAGGAGGCACAGGGATGGAGGAGGGCCTTTCCAGAAGGTGGGGACCTGCCTCCAGGCGCTGGGGGCCCCCCCGGGAGGAAACGGTACCCTGTCTATGGGGGAGTGAGTTGGGGTCTAGAGGAAACAGGACTGGCCGCGAGCCGGGAACTGTTGAAGGTGGGTGATGGGAACACACGGTTCCTTGGACTAGTCCCTCCACGTTGGTACAGGCTGAAAACTTTCCATAACAAAAAGTTCAAACAAGCAAGCAGACAAAAATAAAAGGCCCCTTCTTGCCTGAGCTGGGGCAGAGTGAGTAATGAGCTGAGGGCGAGATGGGGTAGGCGATAGGTGTGCAGGAAACAGGAAGTCCGGTGTGACAGTCCCACCCCCTCTCATCAGGGGAGACGTTCAGGTGGAGGGGGAGGGGGGCAGGGGACTCCCAAACTCACCACCCTGGCTGCTCGCTCCTGAGATTCACATTTCCGGCAGAACCAGGGTCCTGTGGGCACCTGGACGATGCCATAGCAAGCTGGGGGGGGGGGGGGCAGGAGAGTCATGGAGCAAATGTGTCAGCAGTGGCTTTTCCCAGAGTAAGGGGGGGGGAGGGGTGACTCTAAAGGACTACAGCCAGTTCCAGTGGGGAGGGAAGGCTGCTCCTCTGGGGGTCACTGACTAGCCAGCAGGACCACAGAGAATGCCCCAGCGCGCACGGGACAGCCTTCAACCACAGAACCAAGCTACTCCGCGTAGGGGCAGGACGTCTGAGTCCTTGACCTTAAACTCTAGTCTTAGAAGACCCTCCTCTCTGGACCTGTTTCCCCATTTCCGCCAGCGATCACCCAGAATAGAGAAAACTGGAGGGACAACAGTACCATAGGCGAACACGTTTGTGTTGTTATTGGGGGGAGGGGGGTGTCTTAAAGGGCCAGTAAAGGGAGAGGCGAAAAGTTGGGGGTCCAGGGACCTCCTCTACTGCCTCGAACTATATAACAGGGAAGGTCAGAAGCCGAGGCCGGGGGCGGTGCGGTGCAGGTAGCCTGTGGGAGAGTGGCGGGAAGAGCCGGCGGCGGCAGCCTTAAGGGCTGTCCCGGGAGGGAGGGGGGCGCCGCCGTGCCAGGCCGGCGGGAGATGCCAGCCTGCGCCCTCGGCGAGATTCCTCAAGGAGTTAACTCCGGAGCCATGTGCTGCTGGGGGAAACTCCGAACCTCCCTCTCCTCGCCCGGCTCCGGCCCCTGGCACAGCCTCTCTCCCTCCCGGAGCTCCTCCCGGGAGGGTTCCAGGAGTCCCCTCTCCCCGGGGACCCTTCTCCTCCCTCCCCAGCGCGCTCCTCCCCGCATCCGGAAGCGGGAGGGAGGGGGGTGACTCCCCCTTGACCTCTCCCTCCGGGAGGGAGCCGGGACCAAAATAACCCGGCAGGCAGGAGGGGACACCTCGGAGGTAAACATTCCCGCGGCGGCCCGGACACCGGCGGTTCCGGGCGCCCGGAGCGCGCTCCCCGCCCCCGGCCGTCTCCAAACTCCCTCAACTTGGGGCGGGGGGCGCGGGGCGGGAACAATAGGCTGGAAAACAATGCCTGACCCGGCCCTCCAGGCCAGGGCGGGGGCAGCCCCCCGGCGCCTCCCTCCCCTCCCAGGTGGCGTGGGGGAGGGGCGCCCGAGCCCCGGGAGGTCCCCGGAGGGCGCGGCCCAGGGCGCCCCGCGCGCGCCGCCCCGGGGTCCCGCCGCCCCCCGCGGGCCGCCCGGTACCTTGGTGGACAGCCACGCTGCACGCGTGCCCATCACAGTAGACCAGCGGGTTCTCGGCCCAGCCCCTCTCGTCCGAACATACGCAGCAGCCTCCTACCATCTCCTTCATGCTCCCATGAGCTCCCTCCGGGGCTGGGGCGGGGGGCCGGCCGGCGGGGGTCGGGGGTCAGGGGGGGAGGGAGGGAGCGGGGGGCCGCGCGCCTCCTCGCTCCCTCCTCCTCCTCCGCCGCCGCCGCCGCCGCCGCCGCCGCTTCTTTTCTTTGCCTCCTCCTCCTTCCTCCTCCTCGGCGTCCTCCTCCTCCTCCTCCTCGCTCGCTCGGTCTGGCCGCCCCCCCCGCCGTGCTCTCGCCCTCATGCCCCGACGGGCCCCCCCGCCCCCCAACAATGAGAGTCGCGCGCCGGCTCGCCCCCCTCCGCGCCGCGCGCCCGGCTACCAGGGCCGCCCGGCCGCCGCGCAGCCCGGGCCCCGCGGGGGAGGCGCCGAGAGGCTCATCGCGCCGCCCGCCCGCCCCGCGCCGCCCGCTCACGCGCCGCCCCCCCGGCCCCCCTGCCCGGCCGCGGCAGCCATGGCCGCGCGCCGCCGCCCGCTCGCTCCCGGCCCGCCCGCCGCCGCCGGGTAAAGTCTTAGGTTCAGGGAACAAAGCCCGGCTGGGTAGGGAGCTTTTCGCTCGCTGGCTCCGCGCTCGTCCCCCCTCTTTCTGGTCCTGCCCCTAGTTCTCCCTCGGCGCCCCCGAGCCCTCATCCCTCTGCCTGTGTCTCTCGGGCTCGGTTCAGGGTCCGACTCTCCAGACTCCCCCCGCCCCCCCCCCCCGCCCGGCTCCTGGCCTCTGCGGCCGCTCTTCACGCCCAAGGACACGGGGTGGAGGGCAGGGGAAGGGGCGCTCGGAGGAGCGGGGGCGACCTGAGTGGCTCGCCCCTCCGGATCGGGGCTCTCCCCGCAGAGGCCATTCTGCAGGGTAGACGTTCAGAGAAACGCGCAGACATGGGTTCATGTCACAGGCATTTATTGAATGCTTACGATGTGCAGCCGCTGGGAAGCGCGGGCCATAAAACAGGTATTCCTGCCCTCGGGGAGCTTCCGGTCCGGCGCTCAGACACGCCCGCACCGGGGCTCCTCACCCCAGCAGACACCCCGAGGCACCCAGACACCCAGCCTCACCCCCAGCCTCCTCCAGCCGCGCCGCCCGCCCCTCGCAGGCGGAGGCCGGCCCCTCCCGGGAGAGCCCAGCCCAGGGCCAGCCCCGCAGGCGCTTAGGGACCCACGCACGTTAGAGCCCCACGCCTACGGAAGTGGTCACACACCAGCTACCCTTGACCTTTAGGCACGCGGCCGCACACACATACACACACACACACACAACACTCACACCCAAGGAATGAAAGCCCCTGACATTGGATCTGGGAAGAAGAGAGGGGGTATCAGCTCGAAGGCTTCCTCCCCAAGACCCGTGTGGGGGGCAAAAGAGGACGAAATCTGACCGCCGCCCCCCCCCCACCCGCCCAACTTCCTAAAGGGGTGCTGACGCCCGCAGAGACCAAAGGTCCTACCCTCTCGGGGCGGCGGGGTGGCGGCGGAGAGGAGGCGGCTCTGGGGGGGCATCGGCCACACTTCAAAGCCCTCTGGGCCGGGAGCGCTTCCTGCGGGGGATGGGCAGCGGCGGGCGGAGGGGCAGACCCGCGGGGATGGAGGCAGGAGGAGGCCGCCCCCCCCCCTCCATGCACGGCCCCCCTGGCGACTCTTCCGCCGGGCCCGCCCCCTTTTCAGCGGCACCTGTTCAACCGGAACATCAAGGGGCCGGGCCGCCGCCTCCCCTCCCGCCGCGTCTGTTTAGTACCTTTCATCCGGGAGAGGGGGGGTGATCCCGGCCCCAGCTGGAGGCGGGGGCGGGGCGGGGGAGAACTTGTCCTTGACCTGGTCTGCGGCGTCAAGGATTTACTCCCTCAATCCCGGCAAAGCTAGGCTTTGGGGAGGTTGGGGACGCCGAGTTCTTGGCTGCGGCCGCCTTCCCTTCCTCCTCCAGGGAATGCCGGAGGGCTGCCCGGAGGAGGAGGCTCCGTCTAACGGACCAGGTAGTGGGGGAGGAGATGGTCGAGAATGGGGAGGGTGCGGGTCTGCAGTTTGGGGATCCCTGCTCGGACCGCCACGCGCAGGCATCTTGGTCTGCTCCGTGAACTTCGCTCGGACGAAAAGTCAAACCAGACCCCGACGGGAAGTCCCAGGAAACGACCTTGACCGACAAGAACAGAACGTCAGAGGAGATGAACCGCAACCTTGTCAGCCCTCGCCGTTCGCCAGTGCCGGGATGTTTGAATGTTTGCTTTCGGGACCGACCGCGGCCGGGGGAGGTGGCCGCCGCTGCAGGGTTTCGCGGGATGAGGGTCACCCGAAGGCCCGTCGGTCCCGGCGGCCGCGAGTGGGCGGCCTGGAGGCGGAGACGGACGGAGGAGCTTCTGTCCCGGGTCCGCACCCGGGGCACAGGCGCCGCCGGGAACCTGGGGGGTGAACGCGCGACGACACTGGCGCGTTCCGTGAGTGTGTGGGGACAGTTTCGTTCGCTCCTTTCCACGACCCTTTGGGGTGGGCATGAACACCCCCGTTTTATAGGCGGAGGAGCGGGTCCCGCGGGTGACATGACGTGCCCACAGTCCCACCGCCTAACGGAGGCAGCGCGGGGGTTTGAACCCGGTCCGCCCTCCGCCACCACCTGTCCGCCGAACGCCTGTGTCGGAATCGGACGTTCCGTTGGCCGCTGGCCGCCCGTCTATAGCGAAAGCTCCCTTCGGGGGTCTGGATCCCAGACTCTGGGGGAGTCCGGGGACCCTGGATTCGCGGCGAGTCCACCCAGGGCTGAGCTGTCAAACTCGTCCTTCAGTTCCCAGTCTTTTTCGGAGCACTTACTAGGTGCCTAGCCACATTATTATTTTTTTTTTTTTAAAGAAGCAAGAGCAGGACCCAGCCAACAACTGGTCCGGATCCCTCGGGCTCTCTCTGGTGTAACTGGGCGCTGCTGTAAGGTGTCACGCTGGTCCTGGGCGCGGTTTGGGGCCAGTGACTTCACTTCTCAGAGCTCAGCTTGTCCCTTTACACGCAGGAGTTAGCTGCTCCTGGCAGGAGCGGTGGGGAAGATTGAACAAAATCCTAATGTAAAGCACACAGTAGGCTTGCAGTCCTGCTCGCCCCTCTGAGTGTCCTCCCTCTAAGCTGGCCGGGGCAGCGCGTTCCCCATCCCTCTTCCCTCTCCGCCTCCCGCATCCCCGCCCGACCCCCGGCCCAGGGCCTGGGGCCGAGAGGACCAAACAGAAAATTGTTTCCGCCCGCCCCGCCCCGCCCCGCCCCGCCCGTCCCCGGAGCCAGAAGGGGATTGTGGGGCCGCCGCGGCCGCCGCCGGAGCCGAGCGGGGCGGAAGCGCGCGTCACGCTGCTTCTCGGGCCCGCCCGCGCCGTCCCCGCCGCCGCCGGCCCGGGACGCGGGCTGAGGTCCGGGGGTCCTGGGGCTCCGGTCGGCTGCCGCGCGGCGCGCGTTTCCACGAAGCCGGGCCCGCCGGTTCCCAGAAGCGGGCGGGGGAGGCTGACGGGCGCCGCGGTTTCGCTTCTGCCAGGCGGGCCGGGGGCTGCGGCGCCGGTGCCCGGGCCGGGACACGCCCTCTCCTTAGAAAGCCCCGAGCTCCGGGAAAGGACGGCGCGGGCGCCCGCGGGCCGGCGTTTCGTTGGCGTCTCTTTTGCATATGGATTTCTCCCCCTTCTTCCCCGAAAGCAGAGCTGCTGACCTTGGGGGGTGTCCAGAGAGGTTAAGTTACTTTCCCGAAGCAGTCCAGCCAGTAAGAGGCTCCAGGCGGTGCACCTGACCGTGTAGGAGAGCCTGGCGTGGCCTGATGGAAAGAAAGAGGGGGCGCTAGGGCCGGATGGACCTGGGTTCGAGACCCGTCCTCGCTATCTACCGGCTTTGACCATGGGTTACGAATGTCCTCTTTAAAAAAAAAATTTTTTTTTTTAATTGGTTTCAGAGTGGAAGGGGCAGAGAGAGAAACATCAGTGATGAAAGAGAATCATTGATTGGCTGCCTCCTGCCCACCTTCCACTGGGGATCGAGCCCGCCGCAACCCCCGGCATATGCCCTTGACCAGAATCAAAACCGGGGTCCTTCCGTCCGCAGGCCGGCGCTCTGCCCACTGAGCCAAACGGCCTAGAGCACTCATGTCTCATCTCTGACTCTCGGTCTCCCCATCTCAGAATGCGGACGGTGATACCCAGTGGGCAGTGACGCTGTTAAGTGCCGGCACAGGGAAGGGTGAGGGTGATTTCCCGTCAAAGGTTATGACTCCGAGGTGGTCTCTCCTGGCCTCGTTGGGGTGTGAGGGTGGGTGTGCTGGTTCTTTCCTGTGCAGGCTGGGTGGATAGCAAAGAGGAACTGGTGGGAGTGAGGGGGTTCCCCAGGCATCGGGGCCAGTCCTCAAGATTATTGTAAATAGTGACTCTGCAGGGTGGGATTTTTTCTCTCTCTCTCTTTCAGGAAGAACACAATGCTTACTGTCAAATCCTGCCTCTGCCGTTAGCTTGAAGTGTGACACACATTCTTTGCTGCCTTGGTTTATCAATCTGTAAAATGGGGATAACTGGATCCCCTCCTCCAATCTACAGGGCTTTGGCAACTCTAGCCAGCCAAAGTCCCAGCAAGTGCTTAGAGTTGTGAGTGAGCCGAAACCGGTTTGGCTCAGTGGATAGAGCGTCAGCCTGTGGACTGAAGGGTCCTGGGTTCGATTCTGGTCAAGGGCATATACCTGGGTTGTGGGCACATCCCCAGTAGGAGGTGTGCAAGAGGCAACTGATTGATGTTTCTAACTCTCTATCCCTCTCCTTTCCTCTCTGTAAAAAATCAATAAAATATATATATTTTTAAAAAAAGAGTTGTGAGTGAGCCCGTTAGGGGTTAAGATGGACAGAAAGGGAAGAGGTTCGTGGTGTGAGTTAGCCACCTACCCAGACTTTTCCCACAGTTACCCGGAATCTAGTTCCAGCCCCGCCCCCAGCCAGCTGTGTGACCTTAGGCAAAGCAGCTGCCCTCTCTGGATCTTGAAATTCCCTCGGAGTTCACAGTCTGTGGTTGATGACTCTGCTCTTGGGGAAGTGTCCAAGCTGACGGGTGACAGAGGGAGAGCAAATCTGCCCTGCTGTGTTCCTCTTTCCCACCAGTTCCTCTTGAAGTCTAACCTTTTACATTGAAAAAGT